TTAGCACTGGGTGCCATACTAAAAAATATTGGATGGCATTTAGAAAACCCGCACATCAACATTTCCATCCTCCAGTTGTAGAAGGCCACATTTCTTACATCTGCACATATCCTATGCCAATCCATTATAATATTCTAGATTCTTGGGATGGGCTCAATGCGTATGAAGGAAAACACTAGCTAAAGAACTGGTAGCTGTGACTTCGCATTGTTGTGAACATATAATAATAATATAGATAGGTGGACAAAAAAAATCAAATCATGTCTAAACTTCTGTCTGACTGTGTGACCAACCATAATGTACCAATAGATGACATGATAAAGATTTGAAAAGGCTGTTCCCTGGATTCATTAAGGTCAGTGCCAAAGCTGCCACTGACATTGTGGCAGATTTGATCATTTATGAGGTAGTGTTTTTTGGACAACCAATAGCAGTCATGTTTAAAAAGAAAATAAAATAAAAGGGGCTTTTATTGCTCACGGTTTGTATCCCAATGTTATTTCTCACACGTTTATTGTGCTACTTCCCTTAATTTGATTCCATGCTGAGTCCCGGTGGGATGCCTTTCAACACATTGTACTCGTGATTCCAGGACTGAACTTGCAAGGGTTTCTTTTACAAATGGTTCCTAACAGATGTGCGGCACACTTTATTAACTCAAGTACCCATTAGTTGAAAATTTCATTAGTTTGGTGGAAAGGGGATCAGTTTCATCAATAGACCTGGTATGGTGGGACTCTTTGTGTCAATCTGACCCATATCAAAATGGATTATTGTTGTAAGTGAGACAAGTGACCTAATGTTCTGCCTATTATACACACATGATCCTTTTAAAATGCTAGTGTGGGAAAACTGCATACTTGAGTGAATCTCCAACACGTAGATTCTTAATAGGTGGCAGCCCTTCACTTAGCAACGTTTATTTGAGGCTATATGTGTGTATGTATGAATTACTTGGGGTACAGTTGCCAACCAAGTAACCAAGGGGAAATCAGAGCAGAGAATGAAACAGAACAATAGTTTATATTACATACACTTAAATGAAATCAGGTGGCCAGATGTACTTTGTGTATACTGTAGTGCCACCATTTGACTAGCTAGAAGCATTTTACCTCAGAGTTTTCATTCAGGAAGATTTCTTCCTGTGAGACTACATTGATAAAATAATTATGCCATGTAGAACATAATTATATTGCATCACAGGTAGAGCAAGTGATGGCATTTTTAAAAAAAATACACTTGATGTAATACATTACAACGTACTGCGAGTAAATTTCAGATAATAAAATAATAACAAATAGAATAGAAAATAGGGTGAAAGATAGGCCACAGGATCCATATCCCCATTTAGACCTTTTTAGATCATGCATGCTTGTGCAGATTTCATATACTAATTGATAAGTTATTAACTCAATACATTTTAATTTTTCTGAGATGCTTGGGAAAAAATGCAATTCAGAAAAGAATACAGCAGCCATTGGTTGTTCTTGTAATACTTTTTATAATTATTTTGTTCTTTGGAATAGCATTAGGAAATCCCTTTCCTGGTGCTTTGCAGTTCATTACTTATGAATGGAAAGAGACACAATGGCTCAGTGGTTAAAGATGCTGAGCTTGTCAGCTGAAAAGCCTGGGTTTGACTTAAGCACTGTGCCCGAGCTCCTGGCAGCCTAGCAGTTCGAAAGCATACAAATGCAAGTAGATAAATAGGTACCATTTTGGTGAGAAGGTAACAGTGTTCCATGTGCTTCAGCATATAGTCATGCTGGCCAAATGGCCATAGAAGTATCTTTGGACAATGCTGGTTCCCTTGGCTAAGAAACAGAGATGAGCACTGCTTTCTAAAGTCGGGCATGAATGGACAGGGGAAACCTTTACCTTTTATCTGTAAATGAAATCATATTTAAACAATGATCCAATGAAAACATTATGGATAGACTGCTTTAAACCAAGGTTAGTGAAGTTACTTGGTCTGCAACTAGTCCAACATTAGCACCCAGAACCTCTTGAGAAGCTAGAAAGAAGAACTTCCCAGCATTGCTTAGCCTGCTAGTACCACCTTGGAATCAGCTGTGCATCAACAAGAATGGTGATATAATCAAGTTTCCCCCAATTGGGCTTTTGTGATCCCTTTGAGATCAGTAAAAATGGTGCTAGAGAGAACGTCCAGTTTACATTGCCCTTTATAGTGTTGACAATTATTTATGTATTGTTTTTCTTCAAAAGCTGAAAGTGTTGTGTGATTCTCGTTCACCACTTTAACTTCAGAGTATCTATGTAGATTCAGCTGACTGGCCTGAGCTAATTCAGAAATCATTATGGGCAAATAGATGCTTAAACTTGGGTCTCCCAAGTCTTAATCCAGCACCACATTCACCACTGTTTCTCAGTGTAAATTTATTTCAAAGGGTGAGATGTTATATTTATTTGAAGTTATTGAGAACATGATGCACAGCGGAAGGGATGGAGACAAAGCCCTCACTGGGGTAAACAGCATCTTTATTTCAAAACAGCTTTCTAAGTAGCCTTTATACCCAAATACTGGCTTCCACTTCAAAGTGAAATATGAAAAATGTTTAATCCCACTTCCATAATATATCTTATCTATTATTTTACGGTTAGATAGACAAGGAAGAAGGTGTCTTCTGAAAACATGGGTTGAAACATCATATTCCATTTTTGTGAAAAGGATGGAACTTGTGGAGATGGCTAAATTAGCTTCTTTGATCAGAGGGGAAAAAAATCTACATTTATGGCTGATAAAACCCTTTACGGGTAGTCCTTGACTTACGACCATTCATTTAATGATTATTTGAAGTTATAATGGTAATGAAAAGAGGGACTTACAACTAGTAAGTCACACATACTGTATGAACATTGAAATCCCCCCTTTCCCATGGTCATCTGATAAAAATTAAGGCCCTTGGCAACCAGCATGTATTTATGATGATTGCAGCATCCCAGGGTCACATGATTGCTATTTGTGATCTTCCCAGCCTGGCTTCTGACAAGCAAAGTCAGTGGGGGAATCCAGATAATGACTGTGGGATTCACTTAACAACTGTGGCAAAAAAGATCCAAAATTGGGTGCAATTCACTTAATGACTGCATTGCTTAGTGACAGAAGTTCCAATCCTAATTTGGTTGAAAATTAAGGACAGTTTGTATAGAGTTTTTACATGGAATGGAAAAAATATGCACTTATAATTTGTGGTTTTGATGATTAGTAAAAATGAATAGAAAAAAGTGAGCTTTTCTTTTTGTAATCATAGAGTAAGAGATAATTTTGTAATTGTACTTATATGTGCTGCAAAGGAAATCAGAAGCTTCTTCCTATTTCTTTTTATTCTTTCTTTTTGTGCTTTTTCTTTCTTTCTTCTTCTTTTGCTTTTACTTTTTAATAGTTTGTGTTAGATTTTATGTTTCTTGCAAAATATTTAATAAAACTAGATATTAAAAAAGAAACATCATCTTTCCTACATATACTGTATGACAGAAGAAAAGTTTCATTTTAACAGATTCCTCACTGGCAATCATGTACAAACCAGTGCTTATAGTTTAAAAGAAAGAGTTAAGTGTCTAAACTTTCAGTCTTGGAACTGTATAGCAAACTAGTATTTCCTTAAATCCCAGGTTTATTCATAATGAAAGATAGGAATCAGTGAATGTAAAACTAAATTCTGATTATTCTTATACGGAGAAGAATGGAGCATTTTCAATATTCCTACTTGTATATACAGCATCAAATTATTGTTTGATGTTAATCCAGCCACCCAGAACTCTTAATTGAAGAAGAAAGATGTAGAAACTATCAGAATGAATAGTTCAATTAAAAGACACATACACATATTTTTTACTAAAATTACATAATGTTTTTATTCTGATGTTAGAAAGAAGAGATAGGAGGAGGAAGCCTATTAGTCTGAACTCTAGTACGTACATAACCTTCTAACAAAACATGAAACAAAATAAATAATGAAGCCCAAATATTTTGCTATCAGAAAAGATAAATCTCAATCTCGTGGGGAAAAGATTGTAAGCCTTACTGTAGGGATGTCCTGCATCTTTAAATACTGAGCAACAGGTTATGAATTCGCTTATGAAACACTGCATTTTTCTGAAGATGCAGCACTAATGCAATAAAGACCAATAGCAGCATGAACTGCCATAACATGTGTATAGAACAAAGAATTCATTTCAAAAATTGCCAAGGCTGACCTTGGAGTGGAATAAGAATGAAAACATTGCACAAGATGAATAGAAATATATATATAAAAAATAATGGCACATGTTCAGAAAAAATATTAATTTGGTTAATAAAGAAAAAAAAATATTTTCACAAGTCTGGTGCTGGACCTTGATAGGAGAAAGAACTGTTTGGGGGCAGAAATAAAGCCATGGCTGTTTTGCATGCAAAATAATCTGAATCATTTTTATTTTCTTAGAATGCATAGATTCCATCCCCATATTTGTCTCCAGTCTCCTTTTTTTTCTTCCTTTATGTATGCTTGTTATATTCCCAATTGAAAATTATTTATAACTTACATTCTTTAATTTAGCGTGACCTCTATCTTATTCTGCAAAATTACGAATATTTATTAAGATCAGTTACAAAATATATTGAACAACAAGGGGCCAGACGGGCTCTGAGGCCAGTGGAAAACCTTTCATTAGCAAACTGGATCATGATCTAGCTCCCACAAGTAAACTTGTAATAAAGGACGATAAAAGGAAATAAATGTATTCATTTATTGACTTTGCAGAGGAATAAGCTGACTCACCGATTATTTAGTTTTCATATACAACAGCTTAAAATAGTTTACTGATGGTGCAGAAATTCAGATTGCTGCCTTTAAATATGTGATAACAATTTGTACCATTTTTTTCCTGTGAGTACATCTGTACATTTTGCTTGATCTGTTCCACAGTCAATTGCCCAACATAAATTTACAGATCCATTAAATTTTGCTGCTGACCAATTTTTTTTTGTGGTGTTTAGATCATTGATTTGCCAGAATAGTTTGTTGCTGTTGAAGATCTTCATCACTTAATGGGCCTTGATAAATCGCCGACAAATTAAATGGTTTTGGTATATCTATTCTGAGCTCTCCTTGGCGAACAGCTATGTAGGGCCTCAGAGCATCTGCTGTCACTTTCTCAAGCCAATCAAGTAGCTTTTGGAGATATTGGAAGAATGTAGTATACTTCTCAATTGTCAAGTCAATCAATCTTTTTGTCTCACTGATGAGCATTTCATAAGAGTTGAAAAGGTGGTTGTATGTCTCCTGCAGCTTTGCCTTGACCTGTTGGTTTTGTTCAGCTGCACTCTGTTTTGCCACTTTAGACCAATACTGGATCTTTTCATGTGCAGTTTTGGAAAACTCAGCAAGTTTTTCTTGGTTCTCTAAAGCTTCTTTTGCTTGGTCTGTCAGGTTTGTGATCAGGTCAGCAGCTTCATTTATCCATTTGATGTGCCACTCTAGTATAGTATTAAAAAAAGTCTTCAGCCAATTTATAAATTTTTCTTCCACTTCATAATATTTGAGAGACCATCCAACTACATTTGGGTCAAAATATTCCTTCCTCAAATCTCTTATGCTGTGTAGAAGTTCTTCTAACTTATTATAAATTTCAGAGAAAGTATTCTGGATAATGTTTTCAATGCGAGGAGAAAAATATTTTACATCACCTGCTAAGCTATTCAGTGCATTCAAGAAGTTTACAAACAGTTGTTTTGTTTGTTCTTTCAGATGGTCATAGTTTTGAGCTTGCAAATTTTTGATAAGCTCTTCTATCTTTTGGAAGACTTGCTGAATTCTTTCCTTTAGGTCTCTTAGATGTTGTGCAAAGTCAATCTCTCGGAGACCAACAAATATCTGACTAACTTTCTTTTGCACATGGGTTAAAAATGTTTTGATTTCTGCAAGTATGTCACTACCTTTGATTATCTCAGAGGAAGCTGGGATTTTAATTTCTGCTTCATTGACAAAGGTAATCAAAGAATCAAAATATTCCTGCACTCTTGCAATGGACTGATCTACAGCTTTTGCTACTTTTTCAGTAATTATCACATATAGTTCTTCACCAGTATGCTTCCCAGGAAGGCCTGGTACCTGGAATCTTGTTACCTTCAAAAATTCAATGGCAGAATCAATAAGACGTTTTATCTGTTTATGGTATTCAACTATAGAATCCATTATGGCATCCAAAAATTGGGTTCTGATCTGGTCATACTCTATTTGGCTAGCTTGATCTGCAGCTTTATGGTATAGTTTTTGGGATTCTGTCTTAATCTGTTCATATTTTCCTGTGACCTGGTTAGTTACTTCATGAAGCTGTTGTTCTAGTTCACTGATACTGTTTACTGTGTTCACATATGTTTGGTCAATATTACTTCTCAGAGTATCCTTCAGTTTTGAGGCAGCAGAGCTGATTTCCATGCCTGTATGTTCACGGTGGTACTTGTTAGCAGTGTAGTACAAAGCATCAGCCATTTTAGGCACTTTCTCTTTTAAACCTTCAAGTAACTCTGTGACAGCATCCTCTTTCCAGTTGGTTTTGATTTGAATCAATTCTGGATTTTTGAAGGATATTTCACTTTTTAAGATCTCCACTTCATTCTGAGGGTTAGACTGTAAACGTAAAATATTTTTTTATGAAGGATTATTTGCTACTTTGTTATGGAACAAGACATTTACTCCCTATTACATTAAATGAAATCAATTATATTTGGGCTGTAAAACAGTAACAGTTTTATAGTCTCTTGAAGGCCTTTGAAATGAAAAAGTGCAGCATATAAAAATATAAGTAAAGTGTACACCTTGTTGTACAAGTATTTCCTTTCGGAGCAATCTTCCACCCATAATAGGGCGATTCCTAATTTTATTTATTAATTCATACAGAATTGTTAAAAAATTGTAATGTATCATTTCATTAAAAAAATACTCAAATGATTCAGTTTCTGTCTTAAATCTTTGGCTCAGCCCACACTTTTCATTTAGTGTTATTTACAATTTGATTTTAAATCCAAATAGCTAATGGCAGATATGATGGTACTGATAATTAGCAGAATTGCAACAGAACAAAAGGGAGAGGTACCCTAGGACCTTTTATTTATTTATTTGTTAAATTTGCCACCTATCTGCCAAGAATCTTTTAAATGGATGGATCGGGCCTAATCAGTCCATGTTGCTTTAACATGTGTTGGTATTTGTTGTATCCCATTTCATATTAATGAGCGTTGGCTTTTTACAAAAAAGAATTCTTAAACATCTCTACTGGAAATTACAGGTGCTAGTTCTGTTTCTATTTTTCAGTCTTTTAAAGAAATGATAATAACAAACTGAAGTAAGTACACCACACATCTGATATAGATGTATTACAAATGCCCTTAAGCACTGAGTGGGGAAAAAAGCGGTTTGGCTACAGTGTTCATTCACTCAGTTCTATTTAAATAGATCTTGAACTGCAGCATCATATCTCGCTTGTTCATATTTGTATTTGATTGAAATAGACCTGTAGTGGGATTGAGTAGTGTGCTGCATAACTAATAATTGGAGGAAAAGTTGCGCAGATGGCTACACTTCATATTGCTATCAATACTGATAGTCAGTTTTGAGAATACTTATGCATTCCTTGATTAGATCAGTATTCAGGTATTTGAATGTTTAGTTGATGCCTATGTTTATATGTGTATTTTATACATATATACATTTATTGTACATGCATATGAACACAATATTATGGACTTATTCTTACTCAGTATGCCTTTTTAATTAATCAATCTCTATATGTCAACTAAATGATAGTAATTGAATACAAATGGGGAACAACAAAACATTTCACTGCCTTCTAATTGTGGAGGTTTTGATAGGGCTGTTTATTAAGGGAAGATTTAAGAATAAATTAAAGGAAATTCTACTATAGTGCCTAAGTGTTGACTTTTTTTCCTGAAAAAAAATCTTTGTGTAAGGAGGACAAATCAAAGCTGCAGCTAAGGGAAAATCCAGCCTTCAGTAGGGGCTTGAATGACTAATTGAAGTTAGGTTCCACTGAAGTCAGTCCAACTTGGTCAGAATAAAATTGAAGGTCGTTTGAACTATGGAGCGTAGTCTTAATTTTAATCTTGCCTACCTGAGTTTGGTAGAAGATCTTGCTGTTGAGAATACTGGAATCCAGGCTGATAAGAAAACGAAGAGTACCAGCCGAAGAAGATGATATCATTGTAGAAACTCTTGAATCATCTCCCTGGTAGCGCATTTGGACATCTGTGAAAGTTGGACTAGTGATGTCCAGGGATGCTTTGTCCCGAACAATTCTAAAAGAGGCACAAAGTAATCACAGGATAAATTAATTGCTCATTCATATAAAGTAGCACTTTTTTTAAAAAAAAAGGGCCTATTATAAATGACTTATTGATGCTCAATTTCTTTGGAATGGCCTACTCAAAGTCTTAGCTAGCACCAACTCTGAAGTATGTTCAGCATCAGCAGAGCACGTTATTTGTGCATGCCACTTAAGTGCTATTTAAATATTCTATCTATAAATATTTAGGGAGGGCGTTATTTGATTGATTTTAATATTGATTAGTTCTGCTGTTTTATTGCTGCTGGATGGTTAGATGCAAGCTGAAACCATGCATTCATGTATAACATGACATATGCATATTTTGTCAGTCGCCAGTTCTTACTGTTTCAGGGCATTTTTTCCCCACAGTTGGTAAGACGGTTTGGCAAATGCTGGGTGCCTACCTTGCAAAAGGATACATTCAGCTTGTTAGTTCAAAGTTAGTTTAATCTAGTGGTTAAGGCACTAGACTAGAAAGCGGGAGACCATGAGTTCTAGTCCTGCCTTAGGCATGAAAACTATCTGTGTGACTTTGGGTCAGTCACTCTCTCTCTCAGCCCAACCCACCTCACAGGGTTGTTGTTTTGGGGGAAAATAGGAAGAGAAAGTTGAGTTGGTTATGTTTGCTGCCTTGAGTTATTTATAAAAATAATAAAAATGGGGTACCGGTAAATAAATAAAATAAATAAAAAATAAAGTCACTATAGAATACAACCTGTAGGTTAGTTTATATGATCATCAGTAATAATTGCTATTAATCAATCTGGATGATTACCTGGGTAATGAGCAGCAATATATAAATCTATACCTGATTTTCAGCAAATGCATATTCTCAGTCAGTATTTGAATTTGGATATATATCCAAATTTCTTTTTCTGACAAAGAGTTAAAGAATTAAATTGGGAGACTAAGATGGCCATTTCTAGCTTGTTCTGCTTTCATCAGTTAGCCATACCCTTTATGGGATTCGAACCTGGGCAGTTTACATACTAGGCAGTGATTTAACCACCAAGCCACAGGCTCTCCTCCCCTCTTTGCCAGCAGAGTCAAGGGAGTATATACAGGAAGTTTTTCAGACAGACCAGGTTCGAATCCCATAAAGGGTATGGCTAACTGATGAAAGCAGAACAAGCTAGAAATGGCCATCTTAGTCTCCCGATTTAATTCTTTAACTCTTTGTCAGAAAAAGAAATTTGGATTTAAAATGTTTCGCAGTTGTGACTTGAGCCTGCTTAATGCCCCTAGTTGGGAGGCTGCATGGTAAAAGATATTGTAAAAAGTAAAACTGCAGTATAGCAGTTAAAAATGTCAAGGTGTACTCAATCAGAATTTTATATATTTTCATGTAATTTTAAAATATTTCTTTCTGATAAAACAGATCATATTATATATTGTATTAATACAATGGAAAAATAAGATTCAAAACTCTTCTGAATTATTAAATGGCATGACTGAAGTGACAGTGTTATGCAGTGTTATGCAGACCTTGATGGAAAGAATAATTTAAAAAGTCAACATGGGACAATATTTCAGATAGCTACCATTGAAGCTCTATTATTCAGTCAAAGAGAGTTAAAAGGAAAGTTTTGGTGGTGTTTTATAAAACAAAGATTAATTTTAGTAGATCAAATGCAGTTCCGCTGGGAAAGAAGCCTGCTAAATATCCTCATTACCCTGCCTTTAAGCACAACCCTGCCTTTAAGCCCTTGACTTTCAACAATTTGTTTAGTGGCTGTTCAAAGTTACAAAGACACTGAAAAAAGTGACTATGACCATTTTTCACACTTGCGACCATTGCAGCATCCCCGTGGTCATGTGATCAAAATTGGGATGCATGGCGATTGGTTCATATTTATGGTGGTTCAGTGTCCTGGGGTCATGTGAACAGCATTTGCGATCTTCTGACAAGCAAGGTCAATGGGGAAGCCTGATAACGCTTACGGAGTAAGGTGTAAAGTCTCCCTTATATAACACTGCTTAATGGATTAGGATTCCCCATTTATGGCATATAGTTTCATCTATAGATTTGCTAACATAAAGAATATATTTAGGATATAATCTGAGTCAAATCAGAGGTTTATTCTTCCAAACTTTTGGGCTCATGCTGGAGCCGATCCTCAGGGAACTTCTTTCTCTCCAGAATGTGTGTACTAGTTATAAGTGTTTATTATATTTATATGGTATCTGGTTGTATGTGGCTTTTACTTATTAATTAGGATGTTGATGGCTGGCCATTAAGTCATTAATTCCTGTTTCCTTATGTGGGCATGTCTCTTAAGTACCTGGTAGGCTGGTGATAAATCAGCACTCCCATTGACTGACAAGGGGCCTGTTTCCCAGGCTTCAATCATTTCTCCTCAAGAAATGTGCAGAGCGGGCACATTCATTGACTCAGATTGGATCCTGCAATATTATCCTGCGATAATATTTGCCTTCATTGGTGAGAATATATTTACCTGTCACCTTCTGTAATGTAGACGGCTTTATATTTTCCACTTAGCTCAGGATGAGCTAAATCATACTGTCTATTTAGTGTGAAACGGTTACCTTCATATTGGTAGGTGGTTACACCTAGAAAGAAAAGGTTTCAAATGGGTGAAATTGGATCTCACAAATTTAGGATGATACATACACTGATTTCATAGGCATTTCAACAGTGTCCTTGAGATTTTTTGTTTGTTTAACCATTACCTTCAATTAATAGAACAGTTTTTACTGTTAATTCTTTAGTTCTAAAGTAGCTGTTATAACAACCTGCACACAGCAAAACTAGTCTCATGAATTCAGGATTACTTCCCTGGTCTAATCTCTTTTCACTCATGTATAAAATCCAGATGGATTTCAAACTCTCTACTCCCCCCCCCTCAAAAAACAACAACATTACTTTGCCTCATCTTACCTATGTTACATTTTAAAGTAGCAGAAGTTCTTTCAATTCACTTATCTTAAATTCCAATCAATTATATCTAATTCAAAGATAAAACAATATAAAATATAACACGAATATTCTTACCATCTAAATCATATTCTAGAAACTGCAGTGGTGAATTTGCAGTAAAGTCAATGGAATGTTCAAAAGCTTCCTTTGTGTTCTTCAGATCTGTTTTCCAGGTAGCACTGTACAATGGGGAAGCGATCTTGAAAGAACTAGACAAAGCTCCAAATTTGGGGAAGTAAATTCCAGCAGGTAAAGTAAATGTAAAAACTGGTATTTCAATCTGCTGTTGAGGAATTGTAATTGTAGGCAAATCAAAATCAGCGATCTTGTTGGCTACAACATCCAGATCAATATTTATGTTGCCAAGAAAAAGTCTCTTTGGAAGAGTAAATTGGGGTATTGTTACAAGCTTGGGATGCTTGGGAACTGTTAGCTCAAAGTATGGAATTTTATTTTGTCCCAGATTATTGTATTTGGTTATTTCATCAAGTTGCATTTTTGGTAGCAGAGGAAGGTTGATATCAAATGATGTATTATTCACCCTTTCAAGTACATTGAACTCATGTAGACCAATGGTGAAAAATTGAACGTGAATACCTACTGCTTTAATTGCAGGAAACTTGATTATAAATCTATCTGCCAGTTGACTGATACTTATAGGGAAAAAATACCCATCCTGATTTTTTGTGTATACTATATTCGTTGATGCATTTAGGAATTGCTTCTCTTCAGGTCTAGTGGTCAGATCTAATTTTAAGATGTGCCATAAACTCCTTTCATAAACTGGCAATGTAAACTCTCTGAGGAAATTGATGTGCCCTCCCAAAGATGCCGACAAGCCAACTCGAGCTTCTACATTATCATTTGCTAACTCCAAGTCATGTCCAAGGAAAAAATTATGGATTTGGCTTTCACTCTTCCAGTTAATTTTTTGATTTCCATTATTAACAGTCAGTGAAAATGCTTGATTAACAGAAGTCTCCTCAAGGAAATTATTTGGTTGGGCAACTTGTATCTGAAGAGCTGCTGACATGATATCAGAAGCTAGTTCCAAAGTTACTCTGCAGATTTGATTTCCTCTAGTTCTAGGTAATGGGAAATAATTTAGATAGTTTTCTCCACTATGGTCCCATAAAGCATAAAGACGATTGGTAGATGCTTCAATGGCAACATTTTCTTTTGCGTCAAAATTCCAGAAGTCCCCAGAATTTGAACTAGTTTCAAACTTCATAGCTGATCGAATACCTTTAGAATTTAAGTAAGTATTTGCTTCATGAACCAACTTCCCAGAAAATGGTTTTCCTTCGTAAAAATCACCATTGATAAAACCACTGGTTGATGTATCAGCTGATATATAAGATATAATACTTTCTAGGTTAGCCTGATGGACAATTGCTCCTTTAGCATTGACATAATTGGTATCAACATCATAATTTAAATTTATTTTTGAAGATATTATTGGCATTGTTTTGGCATTTCCTTTAAGCTCTTGCCCATAATTTACTTTCAAGCCTGGTGCCATAATCTTGGCTGTGGTTACTACTAAAGCTTCTATGTTTTTCTTTGTGAAACTGATAGTGCTGTCGTGATTTCCTTCTACAAATTTGTTTTTCAGGGATAATGCAGTTGCTAGTTTCAGCCCTCTCTTCCTTGTGATGCTTGTTGTTCCAGTCAGCTGATATTGTAGAGCCTCAATTACAGAAGTGGAGGAGGAACTCAATCGAGCAATAATATCAGATTGGTTAAAAAAGCCAGCATTTGTATTCAGGGTAATCACGCTAGATTTAAATGAGAAATCATAGGTAACATTTCCAAAGGCTGGAATATAGATCTGGTTTGGCAGTGGGCTTACTCGATAGTTGGGAAGCTTCAGTGTTCTCAGGCCTTGGGGAATATGAAGGACTGGTAGCTCCAGTGATGGAAGAACTACTGTATATGATGGCATTGAATACTGAACAAATGGAACAGTGAAGTCTGGCGTCCTCATTTCTTTTGGAAGCACATAACCAAAGGTTGGGAGCTCTGCGGTAAAGGGAGAGACTTCAATATTTAGCAGGGGAATGGTGTAGCTTGGAATTGTGAAGATTTGCGGACTTTGGTTTACTGAAGTATCCACTTTGTATTTATCAAACTTGACCTTGGCTTGGTTATATGATTCTGTCAGAAATGCTAAAGTATGGTCTCTATTTCTTTCAAAATATTTGTTGAAGTTCACTATATAAGAATTGAGAGTTTTGTGCACTCTGTCTAAAGGAATTGGAAATGAGTGTACATCTTTGTTCTTCTTGTACTGAAGTTTTACGTTTAAATCAAATGATTGTTTTGGAGTTTTCAGTAACCCTTTTAGGCCTGTTTCTTCCCACAGAGAGTATGCTTGCACTTGAGGTGTCTTGATACCAAGGTAGGGAACAAATTGTTCAGGAAATGAAATAGGAATATTTAGGAATTCCAAGTTAGCTTCACCATTCATGGATATAATAGCTTCAGTACTATCTTCATTATTACCAGCAGACAAGTTATGAGTGTATCTATATTGGTTAAATCTTCCCTCAGCTACCCAGCTAACTTGTTGAGTGGAAGGACTGAGCACCAAGCCGTAGTTATTTAGAGATTCAATTTTTCCAACTATTTTGAATGGGAAGCTAACTTTTAAATTCATATTGTTATTAGCTGATGCTTTAATTTCAAATGGTTGTACTGAAAAGGACACATCATTATTTATTGTCCCAGAGGTGCGTCCAATCACCTTAGCATTGTGTGTACCAGACAGCTCCATTTTCAGCTGTACAAGGTTCCCTGTACCTTGAACATTTAAAACACTCTGTCCAAGTTGTGGAGACTCAATTGTAGACTCAACCTGAAGCTTTGAAGAACTTGGCAAGTTGTATTCATACACCATTCTTTGGTTGACTCTTAGGTACTTAGCATTTATCCTGTTTTCTGCTATAAATGCAGCTATGGATCTCTCTATCGTAAAACTGACTTTTGATTCATGGGTTCCTTCATCAGAATAATCATGAGCAGTCCATTTCCAGTCCCCTTTACCAGTGGAAGTAACCGATATATGTCCAGCTTCCAATGCAGTTTTTATTTCATTGCTTAACTCAGCTTGGCTAGTGAACTGGGCCTTTGGAATGTTGAGCCTATGTGTATAAAGGGTCTTGCTGTCCATGGAAATGATCTTGTTCAGGTTGACTGTTAGTTTGTTATGTAGTTCTATAGCATTACGTGTACTCCGGAAGCTGGCTGTTGTTTCAGCATTTCCTTGAACAGATGCTGTCAAAAACACGACTTCACTTCCATGATCGGCTTTAAGGTACAAGTGGGTGAACTTCAGGTTTTCTTTTAGAATTAACTTTTTCAACTCAGGTGCCAAAAGATGAGTATTTGCAGTTAGGGTGAAAGCAAGGTAGTCAATTTTGGATACGGCAATAGCTGAAAGAGAGGCTACAAATTCTGGGCTGTAGGGATGAGCTGTTACATTCTGAAAACCAGCATTAGTAGTCAGGGTGAAGAAGGGAGAAGTAATTCTGCAAGTACCAGACAGCTTTCCAAATGTAGGGATAGTTACAGTATGTGGGATACGTGGTAACTGGAATTCTGGAATCTTTATATCTGGAAATTGAAATTCATTCAAGTTCAGCTTTGGAATTAATAATTCAGATATTTGTAACTGCGGTAAATTAATTTCAGGTAAAGAAAAGTCTGAAAAATAAAGATCCTTGATTTTTATTTCTTGAAAGTATGTATCAGTTGCTGGCAGCTGAAAGTCACTTGTCATTATTTGATCTATTATCCTCACAATCTTCAGTTTTATTTCATTAAAATCAATTGTATAGGAGGGAACTTTAATAGTATTTAGAATGGTAAATTCAGGAGTACTAAATCTAATTGGGATTCTGATTTCATTTAATTTCTTGAAATTTATCTGATAAGAAGGCACATGAAGGTCTGTTAGTGGAAGAATAAAATCTGGAGTTTTAAATGTTGCATCCTGTAAGGCTCGGAGACTGACTTCAAAAGCTGGTATGTTGATTACGCCTAGTTTGATTGCAGGAACAATAAAACCAGTTTTAACAAACTGGTTCAGATGGTCAGCCATATTTTTTACATTGTATTTCTCTGCTGAAACACTAATCTTCTTTGAAATAATGTCCCATTTGTCAACTAGAAAGGAGACTATGACCCTGTATAGTTGACTTGCTTTGTGAAGGAATCTTTGGCATTCTGCTGGAATGTCCATTTCGTAAATTCTTTTGCGTGCATCTTCCAAAAAATCACGGATCTTACTTTTTAATTCATCGATTGCTGTAGAGCTTATAAGATCATTGAGCCAGTTAACTGTTGCAGCAAGTCTACTGTCTTTCAATTTCTCAATATAGCGAGAAACCACAGTATAGACCTCTTTGATGTATTGTTTTGCAGCTTCTATTTTTTGTGGTAGCTCCAAAGCTTTAATTTCCTCATTGATTTTTTGAGTTGCTTGCCGAATTTTATTGTTTGTTTCATCTACAAATTTGTTGTAATCAAAGGATTTCAGCTTCTTTATCATGATATCAAGGAAGTCATTGATACCATCCACTAGCTTTTTATAATCAACTGTTTGGAGCTTCTTAATGGCATCATCGATAAACTTCAAAATTTGATTGAAGAATGGTTTTATATCAATTTGTTTCAATGTGTTAGTTAATCGCAGAACTGTTTCTGTGATTTTCTGTTGTTTATATAATTCTATCACCTTATCCATTAGAACTTTGGCCTGCTCATCAATATTATATTTTACAATAAGCTCATGCATGCGGACTCTGAATGCATTGATCTTCTCAGATATTTCATAATCTTCCATAAAATTTAGAAGGATATTTTTGATTTGTTCAAGGAGTTGGTTTATTTTTTCAAATGGAAATTGTATTTTTAACTTTTCTATAAGTATTTTAGTGTCAATTGTCTCTATCTGCTGCTTCAAAGTTTCTGCAATATGTTGGGCATCAAAATTCTGAATCTGACTCTTCAGCTGATCAAGTTTTTCTTGTATCTGAGCTCTGATTTTGTATGTAGTATCCACATTTTGAACCCAAGCAGCAGCATTGCTTCCTATCTCGCTAGGGTCATACTGAGAAATAAAAGACTGGAGTTGTTGAATTGTGTTGATCATTGTCACACTGATTTCATATTGGTCATCTAGAACTTTTAATTTTTCAACAATTTTCTCGATAAGTTGCATGATAGCTGGTCTTAAGTCATAATTCTCCTTCATATACTTTTCAGTTTCAGTCAGAAATACTTGTAGCTGAGTCAAAGCTTTTAGAAGATTAGCTTTAGCATTTTCCAATGTGTTTTGAAGGTCCTCAACTGTTATGCTATAATCTTTTGTGAAAGCATCCAAATTCTCTTTCAGTTTATTCACTTTTCTTTCCAGATCAAAAGAGTTCACATAGTCATTCACTTGCTGGGGAAACTTATCTAATGCTATTTTGTATTTTCTCATAAGCTGATCTATATTGATGTTCTTTAGATTCTTCTGAATGGACTTCATTGCAGTTAAGATGGAACGTCTGAATTGCTCATAATATGCTGGAAGTCTTTCCAAGAAAGGTAGATTGATGACATGCATGTCTGCATTTTTATCATATTTGAGAGAAAGAGAGAGGCCAAACTCTTGAGGCTCAGCTATATTTTCCCTTAAGTCCAGAGTATCAATTAGATTAAGTCTTCTATCATTTGTGAATGGTATCTTCATAGGAAAGTCTAGTGCAGAAAGATCAGCTAAAGTTTGTCCAGTCAACTCCAGACCAATATTTTCAGCATTGTTAAACATATTAATGTCTTGGGTATGTACATGGTTATTCAGCTGACTCTTCATTTTCCAAGCACTGCTTTGTTCAGATGGAGTTAAAACAACAGTGACTTTGCTATCCAGTCCAGTATTATATCTTTCCCCAGAATTGATGTTGTGGTTGGTTGATCCCTGGTAATCATGGGAAAAGACAATAGCAAGAGGTTCTGCTTTTAGCAGGAATTTGCTGTACAGTCGACCGGATTGCTCTCCCAATTGTCCATCTCCATTAGTATGCATATCAAAAGTGACTGTAAATGGGGCAGCCATAGATCGTATTTCATTAGAAAAGGTTAAGAATTTAGAATCACAGTTTGTGTTGACATTGATTGTAGAAGAGAGTCCTGCAACATTTAAGTTAACTTTATGGGTAACGGCTGCACCCTGAATACTTGCAGCTGTGTCTGTCTTCATATGTGCGGCCAGGTCTCCATAAGTAAAGATATAGGTATGCTTTATCTCATTGCCACTATAAGCGCCTTTGATATTACCATCCAGATTTACCTTCAAGAGCTCAAGCTGCAAGCGGGCTTTGTTGTTTACATTGGCACTGCTGTATTTCAAATCATTGTTCAAGTTGGCTGTGAGGGAAGAGGGCTGTAGTTGCAGGTCCACATGATGTTTGTGGGATACGTCTGGGTTAATAGTGTGATCCAAATTTGAAACATAAGTCAAGGACAACCCTACAATGTTCAGCTCATGAGTGTGTTCAAACTGCATTTCTTTGTGTGACCCTGTCAAACTATTTGAAAATCGGAGTTCTCCATTATTTACTCTGAAGTTCAAAATATTTTTGCTGTCCACTTCCAAAATGCTTCCTTGATATGTGCTCAACAGTGCTATTTCTGTGAGAGCTAGTTTCCCATCCAAGCTGAATCTGGCATTATGCGTCCCGGCTCGTCCATTGGTATCAATCTTCACAGAAGCACCGGAAGTGCCAATTCGTGCATTCATCTCATTCTCAAGGATCAGTAAAAGAAGCTGCAATTTTGTTGTTGCACTGCTCACCAATCCATCCTGTTTAATACTTAGAGCAGACTTATGTTCTGCTTTGTTTCTTTCATTTTCCCATGACAAGTCACCGATCAGTTCAACACCTTGGTTATTAACAGAGCCTGATACCAGGGCGTAATATACATTTTTAAAGTAAGTGGCCTTTAATTTAGAATGAAGGATAGCCTGCTGCTTGTCTAGAGTTAAATCAAACTTATTGATTGTTTCAAAGTTTGTGTAGGTTCCAATTGCCTCTGATGACAGTTTCAGCTGGCTGTTTTGATATCTTAAGGAAACCTTATTAGTCAGAATGTAATTCTGTATGTTTGTGATAGAGTTGATTGTCCATGCATCTTCAGTAATTTTTTGAATCATCTGGTTAGTAGCCCCAAACAAGGAAGAATCAAACTTCAGAGTTGAATCCCATACCAAATCGAGACTCTTCTTCTTAGAGGTGATAGATTGTAAATATGTGGTTTTGGCAAATAATGTAGCAACATTCAATTGGCCTTCTAGATTGGTAACACCAACATGTGAATTGTCATCCTCTGTGGAATCCTGGTGGGCAGACAAGGAAAACATAACTCCGACGGGGCTGGAAGTATCAAATGTCATGCTGTATTTGACGGTGGGATTGAGTCCATATCTGTTGACCTTGCTGAATTTAAAATTGGAATTGAGGAGGCTGTGACGCAGTGAGTTTTCATAATCACAGGTAAGTCCGTTTCCGTCATAACTTGCTTCTGCCTGACCTGAAATAAAATGGGGGAAAAAATAACATTAGTAACTTGAAGATGTTAAGTAACTTGAGCTACTGTGATTTTTTAAATGATTGCTGTCTTCATTCATAATTCATGAATTCTGTAATCCAGATAGTTAAAATGCAAGAAGTATGCTTGTATACTTGAAAGTAAGTCATGATGTATTTAAGGGACCTTGCTCCGAGTAAGCAAGGAACTGACTTGAATAAGACTATTTCTTTTTCTTTGACCTGTGGTGACGGAAAAGGAGATGCAGCTTATTTGGCAAAATTTTCAGAAGTGGTTTCAAATTGTCCTCTTTCTACAACTCAGAAGTAATGACTGACTAAACATTACCTAGCTGCCTTTCTAAGGCAGGATTAGAACTCGGACTTCCCTGCTCCAAGTCCAGCAACTTAAACATTAGATCCAAACTAGCTCGCTGAGTGGGATTTATAACAGATTATATTTATAGTAGATTATTTGGGCATTATTCTTTTTTAAAAGACATGTGAGGATTGCTTGGAAGTTTCAATGAAAACTAAATAATAATGTTAATTTAATTCAGTGTATGAAGCTAGTTATAATTTGTTTGACATTTTAGCATGTGGGACTGACTGGATGTTAGCTGTAGCAAATTACAGATGAAAGCAACTTCCTTTTAAATCTATAGCATTTACTTTCTTGCAAAATACAACATTTTTAAACCTGGTGATCATACATTGCGGTAGAAATACTTTCGCATGATCTCTTTTATATATTCATAAACATATAGGAGCAAGTAAGCAATTGCAGCATATAGTTGGGCATTGGAAATAAAAGTTCAATCAATGTTATATAATAAATAGTGAGGTAGGTAATATAATACATGCTTAATTAATCTGTTTTTATAACACCAGTTGATGCTTACCTTGCACATTATACGAAAGTAAGTCCAAAACAGAATCAGCTTTCATAAAGTATCTTGTTTTCAGACCGTAGGCATCTTTTGTGGTGTTAGCTAAAGAATAGGAGCCGGACCAATTGTAGTAATTGTTATACAAGTTGGAAGTGATCTCAAAAGTGCCCAACAAAGGTAGCCGAAGTGTGTAATCGTTAGGGATGGTGAATTGCGGAATTTTATACTCCTGTGATGGAATATTTAATCCCAGTGATTCCACCACCATCGCTGGTGCTCTTATAATCTTGGGTATGCTTATGACTTGTGATGATTGTCCACCGAATGGCATGGGGATAGTAATGAAAGTACTTTCCTTATTCCAAACGTATTTAATCTTGCCATCACTGAAACACAGAATTATCCACTGTAAGTTTAACAATGCACTATTCTTCTTCAAAACATGTCCATTTTAATAGACAGTAGACAAAAGCAGTAATTACAAAGCATTGTTATAAAAATGAATTGAAGTTCACTTCATCCTAATGAATTGAAGTGAACACCTCTGAAGAAGTGGTTAAATATTGCTATTTATTTATTTATTTATTTATTTATTTATTTATTTATTTATTTATTTATTTATTTATTTATTTATTTATTTTCATCAACTTCAATGCTTTCCCAATATGTGGACTTCAACCTCCAGAATTCTTATTAAAGTCTATGTAGGCTGCAGAATTGGGGGAGGTGAAGTCCATGGTTCTGGATGCATTCAGGTATGGGAAGGCTAACTTGGAAATTCCAATAGCTTCCAAACCATAATGGGGTGTGCCAGCACCAGACAAAACAAACTAAGATATTTTGCTTTACCTTTTAAAGAAAAGCTCTTCGGGAATGGTGATTACATCTACGATTTGAAAGTCAAGTTGTTGAAGTTTACTTAATTTGTCCTGTAAGTTCTGGGCATATGGAATATCTTTGGATGTCTTTTGCAGCCAGGTATTGGTTGCCTGAAAAATCATAGTAAATTATCACAATACAAGCATCTTACATTTAGGAGCAATTCAAACAGTTCAAACCCAGGACAAAATGCTAAAAACAGTAAGGATATAGTCCAGTGGTGGCGAACCTATGGCACACGTGCCAGAGGCGGCACTCAGAGCCCTCTCTGTGGGCACGCGCGCCATGCCCCAGAGATGGCAACTGTCCCTCTTCAACCAGCCGCCCGCTAACTCGCCGAGGTCCCATGTGGCTGGATGCATCCCAGCACGGCTGGTTTCCCTCCCCCCTGTCCCATTCCTCCTACCCTCGCTTGCTCTCATTTTCCTGGACATGACCCACTGCATCACCTCCTCAGCTGTCAGCTGGCTGTCCAGTTCAGAGGCGGCTTCTCTGAACTGCTGGCGGTGGGTTGCGGAGCCCCAGAGTGTGCCGGTCAAGGGGCCGGCAGGCTGTGGCTGCTGATGGACTCTGTCAGCCCCCATGCACTCGCTGGCCTCTGTGTGGGGGGGGCTGATGGTGTCAGGCAGCAGCCGCCCCGGCCCCTGCGTCACCTTGCCCTGTGACAATGGCACCCCCGCCCTGCCTCGCCTCGCCTCACCTCTCCCCACAGGACGAGCCTCCTGCCTACTGCCCCACCTGCCAGAGACCCCCTGGATCTCCCCCAAACCTGCCCGGTCCCCACAGGCGTCCCTCCCTACAAGCAACATCAAGGTGACCACGCCCACCTTGGCCACACCCACCCAGTCTGCCATGATCACCACTGTCACGCCCACCCAGTGGGCCACGCCCACCTGGCAGACGGCGATAAATAAGGGGGTTTTGGGTTGCAGTTTGGGCACTCAGTCTCTAAAAGGTTCGCCATCACTGATATAGTCTCATGTTACATTCTTCACTTGTGTGTAAACTGATGCACACCACCTTTTCTTTCCACACTTTTGAAATATGAACCTACACAAGATCCTCTTGTCACAGGTACTGCAACAATTCAATTACAATTTGCAAGGAGAAGAAGCCACAGCATTATTTCCACATTCTAGGGTCCCTGGCTTCCTGTTCCCTGATATTTTTATTGTCAAAATTGTGCTTGGTTTTGACTGGACCTTGGCTTTTCTTGGGAGATACTGGAACCTCCTACAGCTAGAACATTCAAATAATCTGAAATCACCAATTGTACCAGATACTTTGACAAGTGGTGATTATGACAGACACACCTACTTACCACAATAAAATGTGAAACGATGTGCCGGAGTGTCATATCAGTGTTAGCTACTTTGTGATTCAGAAGTCCATTTGCCTTGTTCTGCAGAGCCTTTGAATAACCTTCCAGGTCTCCAGGCAGATTGGCACATATTCTCTTCAAAGCAGCACTAGTGCCTGAGTTCCACTGAAGTTCCACTTTTTCTGTATCTGAAACCCAGAACCAATGACCCCATATTATTTCCCAGAGAACTTAGATTATGAAATTGAAAAAAAAAATCCTACCAGTTTCCATACCAGTTTGCTCTGAGGTAGAGCTGTATGTTGAAAAGACAGAGGAACACAAGGAACAATGCTAGAGATCACATTTTTCATGCAAAGGTCTGTTTCCAACCAAAGGACATACTCAACCCCATGACACACAAATTTGGAAGTGTTCCATATTTTGGAGGTATGACATGTAGATGAAGTTATACTGCAATGTTCTGTTTTAACAGACCAGCTAAAAGTCTATACACACATGGCAACCAAACTGGATATTTTATCCCTCAAGGTCAAAACCACTCAACTCCTGTGCTAGAGTTGTGTAATATACATATTCTGATTTAATGACAAATTGTACTCTTTAGGCCTGTATGCCCTGGTTCTCTCTATGTATGTCACTATAAAGATTTGTGCTATGAAGGGGGTTGGGCAAAACTGGGGTGTGAATGGAGAAATCTTGTCCTGCTACACAGAACCAGAAGGCTGGGTTTTATTGTTGTTATTGTTGTTTGTTGATAAAAATGTTTCATTTCGAGAAAAAAACTCCTACCATATCTTAAGACAATCCTTTCTGAAACTGATGAGCCATATGAGGTAGCTGAGGAGTCAAACTGGAATATCATTGCATTACTTGACCGACGGAGGGATATATCTGTTTTAGCTTGAGTCTGCAGGCGGGGAATAGAGATTGCCGCTTCCAAGGATGATTCTCTCCCAAAAGCAGAACTGGTAGAAGGAAATCATAAAAAAAGAAATAGACATTTTATATAACTATACATACTGTATGTATTTATGAAGAGAAAAACTATTGGAAATAAGGTTGGGAGTGAGAGCAAAGTGATTTTTCCCTTTTCTATGTGGAATGTGGGTGATAAGATCTTTGCTGCCATAGTACTTTAGGAGATAGCACACTGATCGATGATACTGGCATTCTATTATGGGTCAATTGGAGGAAGCACTACCTAGTCACACTATTTTCTGCCTTTTCTCCTTATTCTAAGGTCAACACAGGTTAAGACAACAACTGTACAACCAACTTCAAATCACTTGAAATGGATTGGACAGCATGCCAAGTGGAGTTGCCCGTAGAGATTCTTCTTCCACCACTATCAGCAGTCATCAGGACTTTTACAATATGAGTTAAGAAATCAAGACCTATTTGCATGCTATCAGCCCGGGTATGTCTATAAGAATTAGGGGGGAAAGTATCATTACCTTAGCCTTCCTGTGATGGTAATTTCAGGACTCTTCTCGTTGAGTATGTCTAAGATAAAGGCAACTGCTTTCTTTTCTTGATTGGAGGAATCGGTAATTTTAAGATTGGTGCCAAAATTGATGTTGAAACCGGGGGCCTGGAAGTCACTGATAAAAATTTTTTTGCCTCGATTGAATGTAAAGACGATTTTGGCTTCGCTTTCTTTTACACCTGAAACATACATTGATAAATGATTATTACAAATGTGCTCCATTAAAATAAATGGTCAACATCAGTGCAGTTCAAAATGTCTCTCAGTTCAAATATTAAATTCTTAAAATCTTTGTTTGGAAAGCCTTCCCTAGGCATACCATTGCTGATAGATCAGTGGTGGCGAACCTATGGCATGGGTGCCAGAGGCGGCACTCAGAGCCCTCTCTGTGGGCACGCGTGCCGTCGCCCCAGTTCTAGGCCTTCAGCTGGGTTTTATAAAACCTTTTCACTTTAGGCCTCCGCCGCCATGTGCAAAAAAAAAAAAGGTTCAATCAGTCAATTTCAACTTCTCAAGGAAAAAAAAAATCTTGCAAAGTTGGAATTGATTGATTGAACTTTTTAGTCCCCTCCAGTCTGCCATTACCACCGCAGCCACGGCCACCCAATGGGCCATGCCCACCCAATGGGCCACACCCACCCGGCACTCGACGATACATAAGTGGGTTTTGGGTTGCAGTTTGGGCACTCAGTCTCTAAAAGGTTCGCCATCACTGTGATAGATGCTTGATATATGTTGATTTCATTAAATTGCTAAAATTTCCTGCAACCTGATCTTCTAAGATCTTTTGACAGGAAACTAGTGGTTTTATACTAGTTTTTAATCAGAAAAGATATTTATTATTAGGCAAACCTTTGAAAGTTTTCCCATTACTGTACAACAAATTGCACAGCTTCTTACCTTTGGCTTGAGCAATGAATTTTAAAGTGTCTACCAAGTCTTTCCCCTCTTTGTTTAGTTCATAATTAGCACTTGCAATGTATTCCTTTACTCTTCCTGTTGGTTGTAGTTCAATTTCATACCTAAATATATCAAAATGAAAAGATAATATCTCATTGTGAATTGTGAATAATTAAATGGAGTAATAGCCAAGATAGAAAAGAATTACCATTTAGAAATCATAGCAAAAGTAAATAACCATAACTGATAGTATTAAAAAAGAGAGGTACCTAACAGTGATATAACCTTAAAAAAAAAGCATTCTAAAAGATTTGTTTATACTGTTGGCTACTACCTTAGCTTATGTAATAACTATCAATTATAATTTATGTGGAATTTCATAAAGCCTACATACAGTATCTTTAGTCCTACATAGTTTTAAGGAACGGAAGAATTGTCTTATTTCTGTTTTAGGCTACTTTCTCCCTTAAAATTATTCTCTTTTTTATTTTTGCAAATTTCTTTGCAAAATCTATTTGAAAATACACAAATGCAGATATAAATGATATTTAAGAGGTATTTAAAATTACAGTTTAACTAAGCTGTATTTTAATATCCATCTAATAGACATCATGTGACAGCTGTTATGACTTTGAAAATTTAACAATATTAAGTTCACTTCGGCCTATCAATTATTAGTGTGGTATATTCCTATTTCCCTTACTACCTTCTTCTTTTCCGCATTGTATTTTACTTGCCATTTTAATGATATATTCTCAACTTCACACACATAAGGTTTTGCATATGGGACTTATATAAATAATGATCAAAGGCAAAGTCCTACAATGCTGAGACTTTTGGGATAAGGAAATACAGCATCTATTGCTATTAGTTATCTACACAAATTATCACAATAAAACAACTCTAAAGATCTTTGCAGTAAAGAGTGGTACAATAAAATATAAAGGTACAGAATAGAATATAAAATATTTGGTATCAGGGTAGTCTGTCCTGAGGTTATATCATGGAAGTGTACAAATTTATGATGGACAAATAATTCAACATTTTGAAGAATTCATTACAAACAAATTCCTGGCTTTCAGGACGGTGAAGAGGGGCTTAATTTTTGGAGCCAGTAAAGCAACACACTAGTGCAACAAAAGTAGACAACCCCACAAAGAACCACTTCCCATTAATACCAGGAAGAAAATAAAGTAAGCAAAATAAACCATTATCTGAATTATGCATGTTTTATACAGTTCCATGAGCTTTTTATTTTTGGTGAAGGGTTTGTATTTGGCCTGAAATATCAAAGAATCAAAGAGGAGTTGATGATTCATTCAGAGGAAGACAATTGGTCTATCTTACCGGGTTTCTCCCGTCAGTGGATAGTAAGGTGCTGCAACTGTAGAGCTAGCATTGGAATATTCTATTATGGTGCAGAATTTAAGGCCAGTAAAGAAAGGAGAGCAATTGTTTTGTGTTACTCTATTCTCCATCAGTGGAGGAATCACTTCATTCCGAGTTGGGGTGACCAAATGCAAGACATTGCTGTAAAAAGAAAAGAAAATAGATGGCCTTTGTTCTTTCTACTGACTCAACCAATTAGCAATTAAAATGAAGAGTAGGTGATCATAAATTAAAATATTTTGTACAAATCTTTAATCTTGCCCTTGGAAAGTTAATTTACATTTCGATATCATCTTTGATAATTTAATTCTAAACTGATAGACCCAGCCCATGGTATTCAGACTGTTTAAATTATTCTTTGGCAATATAGAAAACTGCAATTTTATAGCAATTTGCAGATTAAGTTCACTTCAGAAAGTAGAGAAAGACAGTGACTAGATTGGCATATCATAATTGCATCCAGGAGCTATTTTGTGTAATGGAAGACTAAAAAAAATATTGCAGAACATTTCTGTACGAAACCAGTACTACACATTAAGGTTTTATGCAGGAATAGGAGAAATATGTTTTTAAAAATCAGCAACCAAAAAAAAAAAGTTGTTTGCAGAACAGTTACAATACCTGATGCTGAAAAGCTTGATTGGGGCCTTTGGTGCAGGAATGGTGAATTTAAGGTGTCCAGCTTTCAATGCAACATTGGCTTCAATTCCAGATTCATGGTATATATTGGTGTTCATCTGTACACCATTTCTAGCAAACTCGGGGATATTCACTCCTAAATGAGTTATAAACTCAACTGCCATTGATGGTTTAACAATCAAATCTGCATGGATCTAGAAGATACATATAAGATACAAACGTTTGTTTCATTTTTCCCAAGTACTTTTCATGGTGTTGCAAACTAGAATTCATTTCTGATTCTGATAGTAATGATAATGAGAGTAATCCTCACCAGGATGACAGGCAATATATTTCAAAACCCGAAGTGAGTTTACTAAAAATTGGTATTTGTGTTTCTCAAAAAGTCTGATTTACCTACACTGAAACCTTTTAAACTTGGAATAAACACATTTCAAAGTCAGTGCTGTCTTCAGCACTGTATTTATGATGTAATGAAATACTTATTTACTTCACTTCTATATACGCCTTTTCTAAAAAAAACCCTTCAGATCAGAATTTAAAATAATTTAAATGCATTAAAACAAAATGACACATTATAACCATTTCATCTATTACCAGTGGTGGGATTCAGATATGTGAACAACTAGTTCTCTGTGTGGATGCCACTTTCGGAAGTCCATTCTGGGCCTGGGCAATAAAAAAAATTAGCTACCGGTTCTGCCGAAGTAGTGCGAACCGGTTGAATCCCACCACTGTCTATTACATTGTAGCTATGTATTTGCTGCAGCACCTGCATTTTCTGCGTCACATGAGAAAAGCACATCTTCCTTCCCCTGTCCTGACCACTTTCTACAGGAGGACAATCGAGAGCATCCTGTCATACAGCATCACAGTCTGGTTTGGAAGCATCACTGCTTCAGACAGGAAGGCGGTGCAGAGAGTGGTCAGAATGGCTGAAAAGATCATTGGCAGTTCCCTCCCTCCCATCCAGGACATAGCACAGAAGCGTTGCTTGAGCAGGGTCCGTAAGATTATCTGGGACACTACACATCCTCTTCACGACCTGTTTTCCTTGTTACCTTCTGGGAGGAGGCTTTGTGGTATCCGAAGCAGAACATCCAGATTCAGCCATAGTTTCATTCCATACAGCATTAACCTTGTGAACTCTCAAGCTTCCTCCTTCCGTTATATATTCAAGATGGACAATATTTAATATTTATTTGCTACGTATATGTAGGGATGTGGGTCTATACATATATTGTTCATAGTATGTTTAGGTATGCGTCATGTATGTGTTTCACTTTGAGAGCGGGCAACTAAATTTCATTTTTGATGTGTGCCGTTGTGCCCACAGTAAAAAAATGACAATAGAGGTTATCTTATCTTATCTTATCTTATTGAAGGAACTTCAAAATTAGTGTGAAAATAAAACTCACATTCCTCTGTGAAATTTTCATTCCAACCTTTGCTCCAGGGGTGGCTACTCCAGACAAAGCTACTTGTAGCTGCAGTCCTGCACTTGTGGGCAGCTCAAATTCATTGTCCATGAAGATGTAGTGAATCATGAGATCATTTTCAGTCCCCTGGGAAATGGTCTGGACAATCTGCAGCAAATACATAGAAAAAACAAACGTGTTACATCTGCATCCTTACTAGGTAGTTTCTCTAGCTTCATGTTTTGAAAACTGAATGAAGATTCAAGGAAGATTCTAAGAAGTATGTGATTTAACTGGAAAATAACAAAAATAATTGATGGAGTAGTTAGTTATATTCAGGGCTTTTTTTTCTCATAGAATGCCCAGAGCGGAGTTCCGGCACCTTTTTTGGATGGAACCTTGTAGGGTAGACAAGGCAGGTTGTATAACATGTGTGAGTTCCGGCACCTTTTTTTTTTTTTTTTTTTTTTACAAAAAAAGCACTGGTTATATTAAGCCTCATTCAAACATATCTCAGGATTGTAACATGTGCCCAAATAAAAGCAAATGGGTGATATTAGAGGAGGTTTGCTTCCCTCTGCTGGTTTTCCTTTAAAAATGTTATAGCTTAATATTGGCTGGGATTTATTTACGGGGGGGGGGGGCAGGGAGAACATGCATCAGCTTCTGTATTGAACAAGAAGTGTAACATGGAAGTAGGGAACCTGAATATTTCCAGATATTGTCAATTAACACTCCCAGTACCATGGCTCAATTGACCTTGCAACTGCTAAAGGCTTTATGGACATTATCCTTTGCAGAGTAACAATCTCCTAGTATGAATGCTTTGTATAACTATGTCCCTAAAAATTCCACAACAAAAAGTACCCCAGTGACGATAATTGTTTCACATCAGTTGGGATAGATATATTACACCAGTGAAGAAGGAAATGTATAGAGTATGTTAAAAAAAGAAACACCCTTTTTGCCTGCCTTTTAAAGTCTGGATTGTATGATGAAAGCCAGGAAGAATATGAAATTGGTCAAAATGAATGTCTTTTAAAAAAAGTCAACCTCAAATATATGAAAGAGATGTGCTAATCTGGATTAGGGCTCCAATGGGAGGATCAAGGAACATTAATATTTTGTTCCTGTTATAATTCCAGTCCAGATTGCTTTCCATCTGCCTTCAGTTTGCACTGGAAGAAAAATTATCATTTGAGTTCTAATAAAAACTACCTGTTCAATTCACATAGACCCCCTCCCCCAATAGAAAGCAAAAAGCATAAAATCCCTTCTCATTCCAGAGTTCAGTATCCAAATCAGAATCCAAGATCTGTTTTTCACTTTTTCAAAAATATATTCCACAAATTGGAACAGTATAGATGGCATCTCATCTAGACGGGTTGTCAGGTTTCAACACAATGAATGATTACTAGTTAAAAACAAAAGCTATCTCACTTGTTCATCTTGAGCAATTCAATTTCCATGAAGCAAATCTTTTATTTTTAATGGGCTTGCATACTGCCCTCCTCTTATCCAGTTTCCCGGGAATTTTGATTATAAAAGATAAAATAAAATAAAAAAAGAAATAATTCCAGAATAAAAGCTGCTTTTATTTTTTTGGCCTCTCAGTAATTTTGTACACAACTCAGAAGGACTTCTCATTGAATTCTATGTGTTTTTTTTGTGGTTAAATGGGCATACAGGTTGCAAACTTAAATGGCTAGTGGTTAATTTGACTGAATAATGAATAGGAAATAAAAAAGGAAGATAGAATATAATGTTTAGTATCTGAATACTTACTTTCTGAGGTATACTCTGCAAAGTTTTAAAGCTTTTCAGAATCACATTTCCCAACAATTTAATATCACTGAATTTCAAGTAGCCCAATTCTTCTTGGAAGAGTCTGAAGTAGGCTTTGACATCTGGAGTTGGCTTGTTGGAGATTTCTTTAACCAGTTTTTCAAAATTAAGCATGATTCCTTTCATAATATCCTAAGAAAACAAGAAGAAAAGAAAATCCCACTCTGGAATTTCTTATTTCATTTGAAGAAAGAATTTAAACCAGCTTTGATTACACATTACATTTTAAACAAATGTTATTTAATCTACATGTAGAAAAAGCCTCCGGCTTCAACTATTAATCTGCACATTTTCTCAAAGTTTTATTTTAAAAATACTTTGAAATAAATACACCTTGTAAAATTTGCTGACAAATCTCTGCTGTAAAGGCCAAAAGAACCTCAGCTGCCACGATAAATATCAACTCTTTATGCCTGAACTTTTGATTTGACAACACATAGGATGAGGAATATTAGAATATGAAAATTATCTATATTATACAAAGACTCATTTGGTTAGATATTCAGTGAATCACCTTACAGCAGGACATTTCCAAATGATGTCCACTGACCTAATTAGTGATATTTCAGTGTTGCAGAAAAACTGCAAACTCCTTTGGAAATACAAACTCAGCATTAAATAAGCTGAATTAGATATGAAGCCATACCTAATCCTAAACTTACCTCCTTAAAGATAATTCTGAGAAACCTATTACTGCAGTAAGTGTGTTAGCTTTTGAGCCTAATAACAGTTCAGTTATTTCAGCATTCTATTAAACTTGACCAAATACTCTACAGAGGTTCTAATGTTTATTTGTAAATTTTAACAATAGAAAAACACCAAGAAAACACATACCTGATCCTGTGTTGCATCCTTGGAATATCCAAAATAATTAAAAAGGGCTTGGGAAAATTGTTCTGGTACTTTGCCATCAATCCAGTACAAAGCTTTGGTAGCAGCATCAGGGAAAAACCCTTCTGGTCCAAACATTGCTTCAACAGTAGGCTCTAAGTTTTTCCCATCCAGACCAATCTGGTCAAATGAAAATGAAAGTCATTTCACTTGGAGATCCTGGGTTAACTTGTCTAAACATTCAGTTCTAGGTGTTTCTTGACCAAAGTATCAGTTTAGAAAGTCTTGTGGAAGATAGATTGTTCTTTCCATAGGGAAATACAAATTTTAGAGCTTCAGTACCCCCAAATTAAATGCAGTCCAGGAAAGAATGAAGTTCTTGTTCATTTCTTGTTCAGGAAAGAAATGTAGCCAAGCTGTTTTAGCAACAAAAATCTATTGGCTATCTTGGAGTAGTGTACTTGTTAGATTTTTTGATTACTTTCTTTTGGTTTGTTTTATTTACCTATTAAATCTTCATTGACTTCCAGTGTTTAAGATTAAGTTGTTTCAAACAAATGAATTATGCATTTGGGGAAGAGGATTAGATTTGTGAGTGACGGTAACCAAAATTCTAAGCATCTTGATTTCAAAGTGATTTAATCCCAGATGTTTGATTATTGAGCTGCAATGTAAATAAACAGAATGACTTCAACTTTTTTGGAATTTCAAATATAAAATTAATGGCTCCTTGGTGTTGTGTTTGGCCATCATTGCATACAGAGACTTTGTCCTTTGATATCAAGATACTAGCATGGTCATGATAGCTGCAGATTTAGCAGTTTTGTTCTTATTCCAATTGATTGCTGAAACCATGAGTATATTTTGATGAAGTGAAATGTACTGAGCCTCTATACCTGTTGGATACAATTTTTATATAGAGTTGACTTTCAAAACTGTATCCTGTTTTGAGAGCTTTCAGTTCCAACACAGTATTTAAATTAAATGGTAAATAACACAATACTTTGATAACAATATTAGTAAGGAGTAGAAAAAAAAATAAACAGGAAGAAAGGAGAAGAAAAGCATCTAAAAGCTGCTGTACCTCAAATACATCCAGAGGTCTCAGCCCAAATAATTCTAGTGTTGTTTTCAACATGGCTTCCTTAGCTATATAGCTGCTTGGATCGAACAGCAGGTTTCCTTCCAATTTTGCTGTGAAAGGATCCTGAGACCATGGGACAGTCATCGTCTTGGAAACTTGATAATTTTGTGAAAATCTTCGGAAGTCTTTGACTGTCGGCATCTGGTTTCCTTTAAGCGCCTCCTGAATTTTGATCCTGAGCCTGATTACAGAATGTCCAGTGTTGTTAAAAAAAATAAGCAAAAGAAAGAGTTAAAAAAAATATCCTAACAATGTTGAGGTAATTTCCAGTAATGTAAATTTATTGTATCATTCTAGGGATTTCTTTACCAACTGGATCACTGGTGTATTATCTTCAGATGGGAGGAGAGAAAAAGTGATCTGAAGGGAAAACCCTATAACTAAATTCTGAATTACTACTTCAGTGCAGCCCTATCAATGAAACAGTGGTCAAAAATTTTAAAATGACTTTCTAAATAAAATCATGAGCTTTAAGAGTCCTCAGAAAACAAAAGATTTTATTTGACATTAAAACACTATAAAAAATTGCACTCCCCCCCTAAAAGTCCTTATTCCCTTCAATTGGGACAATTTTGCCTCACAGTTCAGATTAATAAACTACTTCCCAAAGGGAGCAACTTTACTTCAGACTTTCCTTCTGCCCACATCATTTTTCAAGAAGAAATTCCAAGAGCACCAAGATTGTACAAAGAATTTGGGAAAATCTTTTCATTTAGGGGCAGGTCCACATTTGATTTGTTCACTCTCTTTGATACATGCCTCAACTGGTAAGAGTTACTCTTTAGCTCCCATACAATGACATTAAGGTTAGTCCATTTAATTTTGGCCTCACAGAATATCCACTTATGTAATCATACTTTAGCAAGGTTAGAGAACAGAACAGAACAGAATTCTTTATTGGCCAAGTGGGATTGGACATACAAGGAATTGTCTCCAGTGTACATACAAGCAACAAAGTGATAGGTCATAGATAATAAATCGTAAGATACAAACAACAAATCATATAATACCAACAGGAGAAGGTAGTAGGAAAGATGACAGGTGAGAAATATGAGAAGATGACAAGATAATAGCAATACAACCTACTACATGGGTAAATATCTTTAGGCCTAAGACAGTGCTGTGGGAGTTAGGTGTTTAGCAGAGTGATGGCACGGGGAAGAAGCTATCTTTGTGTCTAGTTGTTTTGGCATGCATCCCTATAATGGTGTATTGTGTGGAAAAGTTGAAACAGTTTATGAAGTTATTCATTAAGGTTAAAAGCATAATTTCAACTAAAAGCATAATTCCAACTAAAAGATAAACAGTGAAACAATTTCAGCAGGTTTGAAAATAACTTACGGTTCATTGGAAAAATCAATAGTATCTAAGATATTGGCAATGTGGGAAGCTACAAAATTTTTGACTTGTTCATTCTTGTCCCTCAAAGAAACTTTAATGATTTTGGAAAGATCAGATGTAGAAGGGTTTTTCATCAGCAGGAGATAAGCTGCTAAACGTTTATCAGCCGGGGAAGAGGCCTCCTGGAAGACTCTAATTAGCATTCCACGATCCTGAAATAAAAGAAAAAAATGTAGTATTTTCCTAAAGTATCAGAGTGGCAGCAGCTGTGATTAATTTAATTACTATGCTTGGTTTGCTATGCTATGCTGGTTTAATTGCTATGGTAGGAAACATTTAGGATTTAGTGCTTCACATTTAGGACTCACCAGAGCTGTGGTGGTGCAGTGGGTTGGCATGTGGTATTACAGGCTAACTCTGCCAATAGCCAGGAGTTTGATCCTGACTGACACATGGTTGACTCAGCTTTCCATCCTTCCCAGATCAGTAAAATGAGAACCCAGATTGTTGGGAGCCAATATGCTGACTCTGTAAACCACTCAGAGAGTGCTGTACAGTACTATGGAGTGGTATATGTCTAATTGCTATTGCTATTGCTATCGATTATCTAATTCATCAAAAGTCTATAACACAAATAAAGGAATCATAAGCTACATTCTTATGGAAAATGAAAATGTTTAAAGTCCATTTTTTATACTAATATGATTAATAGAATCATATGAATTAACTTTTAATCAAAACAGTACCTTGAAACTAATTTGACCAGTATATGTGAAATTTGTTGTATCTTTAAATATAAGATTTCCTTGATACCCATCAGAAACAGAGTACCGTATTTCAAAAATCACATTAAGTTATATAATAGTCTGCTTTACCTCATCATTTAGATCCATTTTTCTCAGTGCCTGAATAGCTGCTTTCTGGATGTCAAGAGATGCAGCATTACTTCGAATACATAGTTTTAGGGATTGCTTCACATTGGGATTGACATTTTCCAAAATGTTTCCCATATTGCCAATGACCTGTGAACCACAACAGAAAATACAAGTTAGATTTTTTTCCCTACCAAGAAATATTAATCTGTAATGTTAAAATTAGTACTTTTACAAACAAATACCCTCAGGGTCAGGTAGGTGAGGTCTTCATTTCCTGAACATTCATTGCTGATCAAAGATGTTACGAAGTTTGCAACATCTGTTAATTCTGGTGTAATTATTTTTTTCTGGGAGTAGAATCTGGAAGATAGGAAGAAAACTTTGAAAAATCTTTCAAAACTGCAGGATAATTTCATATGTAAAATCGGTAATTGGCAGATTGAGAGTTCATCTTTGCAAAGCCACTTCATGTGTCTCATTACTGTAGCTCTGTCAAATTTTAATCAACAGCTGCTACAAACTGACCAGAGATATTGTCACAATTAGAATGTTTGCCATACAGTATATTGTCTGTGATAACAATGCATAGCCTTCAATGTTAACATCTTTTAAAGAGTGTGTGTTGGATGGCTGGGAGGTGGAGATTGTATATATTACCGTTAATGTGTGAAATTAGGCATTTTGTAGAATGCCTAGGAAATCTACAGAATGCCAGAAATGGGATGTCAACGTATAAAATGTTTAATATTTCACACATTTCCTAGGTATTCTATTCTAATACGAAAAGGTAAACTGGCAAAGTATAAAATACTCCAGCTAAAATGCCATTCTAGCCTTCCTTGTTGGTTAATATTGGTCTTTTTCTTTTGTTTTTTTCCCAGTAAGAACATCCTGTATTTTGCATTTCTTCTTTCACCTTTATATACCACTTTTCAATAAAGAGTTAGGGTTATTATTATATACACTGCCTAGGGAATGTAAATATTAAAATTATTAAAATATTAAAGTAACAGAGACATTTCATACTTTGTCTAAAAACATCACACATTCTATAGATTTCCTAGGCATTCTATACAATGCCAGCTTTTCACATATTGCCGATAACATACACAATGTGAAAGTCATAACAATGAAAGCTCATGTAACAGTTCTCATGTCCTCAAAGGGAATAATGAACCACCAGCTGGTGGGTGGGATACTGGGTGATCCCAATTTCACATTGCTTATTTTCAAAACATATATAAATAATTTATTGCAAATAATTAAAAAGTATAAACAAACAAATAAAGCTCTTCTGTTGCTAATGTTAGTCTTCCTCACTGCCCAGATCTAATTTTTTTGTTGCGCAAAATGTATATGTGGAACTAATAAGATTGACACTCAAAGACATCACGTACAATATGCTTACACTAATTAATCATTCTCTCACAAGCAATATTCCTCTCTGTAAAAACAGGAGGGAGCTTTTTCTAAGATGCTCATCTTACTTAAGTTTTTTTTTATTAATCAGAGATAGTTTTTCAGTCAATTAAAATGTTAGTAGTGGCTTAATTTAAGTCATTCATTATTTTAATGGTTGCATTCCTAATGGCAACTTTAATGAATGCTGTATTAGCTAAATTTTATTCCTAGGTAACATCTTTTCCTATCAAAATTATACTAAGTTGTCACATACCTATTCACCGAATGGCTCAAGGCGTAGAAAGAAGCTCGGCTTGGGTGATACTCAGCCATGTTTAGAATCTCCCGTATTGTTTTAGTGCATGGAGAAGGTAGCAGTCCCAAGCTGAATGTAACTGCATCTGCCACCAGAGGGTCAATGTTGCTAGTCCTCAATATTTGAAGGATAGCTCCAAAGCATTCTGGGGTTCCACACTGAATCAGGGCCTGTATTGTGATGGAGCTATAAATAAAAAGAAGCAGAGGAATCACAAGGTTGGTCTAAAAGCAAATTCACATACTGCTGTATTGGCCAAGGCTTCACGGTTTCTGCCTTAGAGTTTATTTTAACTGTCTTTCTGTATAGATGAGCTACCAAAACATGCGTCTCCCAATATCTCTGAAAAATTATCCAATTAGAGAGATGATCAGCCAATAGTTATGCTGAAACTTTTAGTTTTTCATGTTCTAGCTTCCTTATAAATTGATGCCAAAGCATTGCATCGTTTAGAGAATTCAGAAGTCCCTAAAAGTTTCATCCACTCTCTAATCCAGGGGTCCTCAACCTTGCCTACTTTAAGACTTGTGGACTTCAAATTCCAGAATTCCTCAGCCAGCCATGAAAATAAACAACATGGAGGACAATGGTATAACTTGTCTTACAAAAGAAAGCCCATAAGGTTGATCCCAAGTTTAACGCTAGATGATACCTTTCTCATAGAACGCCCAGAACGGAGTTCTGGCACCTTTTTTGGATGGAACCTTGTATGGGAGGCAAGGCGGGTTGTATGATGTGTGTGAGTTCCGGCACCTTTTTTTTTTTTTTTTAGAAAAAAAGCACTGCCTGTACAGTATACTGCTTTGAAATAATATTTGTAAATGTTATTTTAAAATGGTTTAAAATATAACATATAGATTAACTTTGATGCAAAAGGGGGCATTTTTTATTTAGGTTGACAGGATTATATGTGTTAGCCAATACGTTTTGGCTCCTTCAAAGGATATTGAGTAAATCCAGTTGTCTGATGAAATAAAAATGTTTTGAAAGAATCAAGATCCTTTCAACAAAACTTTGTCCAACAAAGTTTCCAACAAAACTTTGTCCATCAACAATATTCCAGAATCAATGGAACTTGGCAGCCAATTAATTTAAATAAATAATAATAATAAAGTGGGCGTGGATGGTTTTCTCTCTTAAATATGGGCTTTCTCTAAACTGGATATGAGAATATATAAGGAGAAGTAAGAAATCCTGTCACATAAGTAGATTACCCACCTAGCAATACTGAATCTTCTATGCTCTGCTAATAAAACCTTTGCCCGCTATTCTCCCTGACTTATATTTGCCAGCATTGGCCTCATTGCATTGTGTAAGTTGATCATGGCCAAGTCATATGGCCAAGGCAATACAGCTGAACATCAATTGTGTGGCCTATTCATTTCCAGTGTAGGGTTCTGTTATAATAAGTCAACAGATGATGACGAAATACCTGGAAGTTTCCATCAACTTTGGCACCATTGGACCAAGAGTGCTGTTATGCAAGCTTCTCAGACCAGTAACAAATCTGTAGAACAAGCTGGCTCTTTTATGGTTCTGCTGAGACACTGACAGTTTTTTTAATTCTTGAAGACTTTTCAGAACAGCATCACCATGCCTGAGAATTTTGGCCTCCACATTCTCCAAAGACAGTTCTCTCTTTATCAGGCCAGTAACTGAAAAAAAAGAGAGCATCTTTTCAAAATGATGCCATCACATCACTACCCAGTTCAAAGGATAATTGAATAACGAGTAGTTGTTTGTGCTGTGTTCAAGAATTGGCTTTGCCTGAGTGGAATTGCAGATCCTTCCAACTGTAACCACTCATGCCCCCCTAAAGATACTCCTAGAAGTTGAAGGATCCTCTGAAACGATGTGAAATACGGATGCCTCTGATGCATACAGGGAATAAGCAAAGTCTAGGTACATTACTTTGTTCCACTAACGTTTAGGCAGCAAGAGGTACAATCACTATTAACTTATTGTGGTACAGGTAGTCCTCAGTTATGACCACAATTGAGCCCAAAATTTCTTTTGCTAAGTGAGACATTTGTTAAATGAGTTTTGCTCCATTTTACTATCTTTCTTGGCACAATTGTTAAGTGAATAACTGCAGTTGTTAAGTTAGTAACTTGGTTGTTAAGTGAATCTGGTTTCCCCATTGACTTTGCTGGTCAGAAGTTTGCAAAAGGTGATCACATGACCCCAGGACACTGCAACCGTCATAAAGATGAGTCAGTTGCCGAGCGTCTGAATTTTGTTGATGTGACCATGGAGATACTGAAACAGTCGTAAGTCACTTTTTTTCAGTGCCATTGTAACTTTGAATGGTCACTAAATGAATTGTTGTAAGTCAAGGACTACCAGTATTAGTTATCATTAGTTATCAGTTTTATATTACATCATTCAAGTATACAAACTCTCATCCTGGAGACTGTCAAAATAATTAATTTTCTTTGTTTGTAAGCTAGCCAAATGTCCCGGTTAGCAAACCAGAAGTTGATCAGCCTTGTTCCAACAGGAATAATGTCATATTGAAATGCTTCTATTTCCAAATCAGTCTAATAGGAAATATTAATCAGTATCTTTCTTTATTTCTTTTCACAAGTCTTGCCTTAGATTAGCTCTATCCAATTTGTAAGGCATTGTTCATGTCACCAGTGGTTAATGGATGCTGCTGATGAACCAAAGACCATGTTGCCTTCTATGCATGAGTCTTTAAGTAAAAATCAAAACAGGTTGCTCACAGTCCCTCTCTATATTGCATAGGGTAATCATTAATATCCAATAAACAGTATTTTACTCCTTTTCTCTTTCTATAGAATCTTCTTAAATTTTGCATTCAGTCTTTGCACTGATTATTTTAAAATCTTTATTACAGCTCTTAAAGAAGCATAATAGTCAATGAGATACTGTACTCCACAACTGTGGCTGCTTCCATTTTTTCCTTATAATAATAAATAAATAAATATAATAAATGATTCTTCAATGAATTAATAGACATAAATGCTTCCTTTAAGGCCTCCTCTAGGAAACCAGGTAGGTAAAATATTAACTCCTTTTTCCCTCTATGGGTAATAAAGAAAAAAATAACAACCCTACATGACCCATAGGAAGTAGATCGAAATGAAAACCATTGCTTAAAGACTTACCATCCATGCTCCTGGTGTTGCTGTTGGCGATGCTTTCATATTTCAGAGTTTGAATGACTTTCGCCATCATGCCATACTGATTTCTGTTGCAATAAGAAAAAAGCAACAAAGCCTTGTATAAAGTAACATGGTGTTGTTTACAACCATAGATGTAAACTGTGATAAGGAAGGGGTCGGGAAAAACCTTATGCAACTTACTTGTATGAGGAGGGCAGGAACAAGTGTTTCTCAGTGCAAATGGCTTCAGATATGTGCTTTTTCTTTGTATCAACAGTGTAGTGGCAATGCTGGTTGCTGCTTATCAGGGTGGATAAAGGTGCATTCTACAAAACATAATTGTGGCTAAATTAGATTCAAAACCTCCAAATCCACAAAGGTTATTCCCGTGCTGGGAGCCATAAAGGAGGGACCCACAAAGAGTTTCACCATTTTTCTAGGAAACCTGGTGCATTTTTATGAGTATTGGACTTGCTGACTATTTGTCTTCTTGCCAACTATTCTAGTACAAATGTGGGCGGAGCAAAGGAAGAATGAAACATTCAGATCTTCTTCTACTAAGCTGGTGGGTCATCTTCCAACAGTCCTTGCTTGTTTACAGTGATCAGAATAGCAATTAGGGTTGCTGTCTGTAGAATATGATTTCTGTGACCACTTGTTTAGCTTGTCATCTATTTTGGTGAGCCAGTGATGATGGGAATTTCTTTGTTCAGGTGCTTTTGCTACATTTCCAGCTGGATACAAATATACAGTTAAATGTTCTTCCTTCCTTGGTATAAAATCATATAAAATACTAATTTAATCCATACTTAAAATTATTTAATCTTTTGTAAACAGTCATTTATATTAACAACTATTTTAAGTAACATATTATCACAGAGTCGATAAACATTTTGTGATTCCACAAAGTGATTTGTAATTGTGGGGCAGAGAAAATGGATTTACTTTTTAGTTATAATGCCTGAATTTAATTTGTGATCTTTAATTTGTGAATACCACTTCATAGGTTTAGAAAGGCCAATTTAAGAACAAAACAAAATGAGGACTTTAGATCATGACTCCTGCTAGAAACTTACATTTCCCTTTTTTAATTTTAATTTTTGGTTGCTCACAAAAAAAACCTTCTTATTTGACCCCTGAGGAAAGAGATTTCATCAAATTATATTAATAAAATGATGGCTGAATTTTGTAATGATAGTGATTGTGGAATATTAGATTGTGGTGTATCTCAGTCATATAATGCATATAGTCCATATTTTCTGTCATGCTACATATACTTACCAAGCCTTTAATGAAAGCAATTGGGCTGACATAATCTCTGATAGGGTTGAAGTTCTCACAAGATTTCAGATTTCTTGTTATTTCAATATCTGCTAAATTAGCAGTGGTTTTTCTATTTTTTACTTCAATGCTGCTGTCACATTTTCCATATACGGTATCCTACAAAGACAAAAATACCACATTTCTCAACCACAGCAAGCCTGGTGACCCAAAGGCCATTTCCCACAGGGGAGACAATTTGCTTGGCTCACTGAACCATGTTTAATCATATTAATTGAAAGAAAACAGGATGGCCATGCTCTTTACCATGGATAATGTTTGAATATTGTCTTCCCTCTCTGTTGGCACAAGAAGAGCAGAGATGATGCCTCTTTTGATGTTGAGTATATGTGTAGCTTCACTATCCACAGGATATAGCTCTACATTCTTCTCATTCTGAATCTTGACTTTCAGCTCATATCTGTCCAAACAAAAACATCACATATTTAAAGAAATGAAAGCATTGTTTAACATTAGAATATAAAACAGGGGACCTCTGAGTAAACTGCTGTAGTGTAGAATGATTTTCTTCATGTTTCAGCCAATCCTGTCTTCTGTTTGTTTTTCCTATTGACCTATTCCCTAATATCCATTTCTACTTGGGGATTCCAAAACATTTTGGATTGCTATGACTTGTTTTTCTCTTCAAGAGCTTTTTAAATATGTTTCACAGTGCACCATTTGCTTGCACCACCCTCATGAATCACCTCAGTTACTGTCAATCTTATTATGATGCTTGGCAGTATATCATTCTCTGAACTGAATCTGTTCACACCAGAGATTATAAAGCAAACTACATTGGATTTAAAATCTTTAAGTGTAGTAGCTGATTGTCATCTTTTTCCTAACTTCTTTTACATCAAAAAATAGTCCCGCGCCTAGCATACTATCTCTCCAGTTATTCTCTAATATAGAACATTATATAGATTTTCATTACATATATATAAACAATCAGCTGTAAGCTACTCTGTTATTATGTCTCTCTGTGTATGTATGTGTATGTGTATATGTACACACATACACATAACCTCCCCAAATTGTAGGATCTCAGACAGATCATGCCTATTTTTTTAAAAAAGAAAATATTACAGTATATGCCATGATGCATAAAGAAAAGAAAAGAGAGAAGAAGAAATCCCAAGGTTTTATTTGGCTTAATGCATTTCAGAAAAAAAGTATTTCTTTTTTTAAAGAAACCCCCCCCATTTTATTTGCAATGAAACATTCTTGAAAAAGGTGGTTTTTTTTTCCAAAATGCCTCAGACCATTTTTTCCCATTTGTACCTGGAATTCTTCTTTCTCTCTTACGTGTTTCTGTTTAAAATGCATTGTGGTAATTGCTGATGACATGGCTTTAACTGTTGTCATAACAAAGAGCATGATCCTTCCTTGTCCATATACAATTTTGTATGTCCAGAACTATTTAGTAAAGTTCTGTTCTCAAACTACTGTTTGTTTGAATTGTTACTGTTCTTCCAACAATTGGTTTTCAGACAAAGAAATAAATCATGAGGGTGTTTTTCAGAAATTTCTTTCATAGATGACTTGAAAAAACTGTTTTTCACCGAATTTATATTTCACAACTTCAGAAAAAAAAAGAATGGAAATCTAAAATCTTTCCTTCTTACATGGGGCTCTATGCCTGAAAGAGATTTCCAGCTGGATGCTTTACTACAATCATTAAAACATCCAGACAACTCTATTGATGTTCTGCTCAAAGTCTGAGTACTGTTGCACCATTACTGTTCCCCGGTTCCATAAAGAGTATTAGAAAGCTGATCATTAAAGATATGAAGTAAAGCAGGCTTCTGGATAAGATAAGACTAGTTGCTTTAAAGCTTATGGAGTGCTGTAGCAACACACCATGTCTGAGTATAGTATAAAAGCTATCTGCAACGGAACTGTACAGTTTATTCTCTGGTTCTTCCTTTGGGACACAACTGAGACGATAGCAGTACTTCAGTATTTGAGGGGCTGCCACAAAGAAGGAGAGGTCAACTTATTTTCCAAAGCACCAGAAGGCAAGACAAGAAACAATGGATAGAAACAAATCAAGGCAAGAAGCAACCTGGAATTAAGGAGAAACTTCCTAACAGTGAGAACAATTAAACAGTGGAACTGCTTGCCTTCAGAAGTTGTGGGTGCTTCATCGCTGGAGGTCTTTAAGAAGAGACTCAATGGCCACCTATCTGAAATGGTATAGGCCAGGGTCTCCTATTCGAGCAGGGGGTTGGACTAGAAGACCTCCAAGATCCCTTCCAGCTCTATTCTGATTGGGTTGGATTGCTCAGTATTCACTGTCACTCACTGTCAGAAGATATTTAACTAGCGTTAGAATTCTACAGAAAATTAGGTAGGACTTTTTCTTACTGGGACATGGCAGCAGCAAATTCATCTGAGTTCTTTGATTTCTTTAATAGAGCCTTCCCCTGGACATCTATACCATATACCTCTTCGAGGGTACACTGGTTTATCTTCAGGACAAAATTATGGAGTTGTGGAACTTCCAGCTCAGCCTGAAAACAGAGAAGTTAAAGGTGTAAAACACTGGTTATTAAACCAATTAGTTTGGAATCACTTGAGCATATTATGCAGGATGTTTTCAGAAGAGCACTGCTATTTTCCAGTGTGATTGTGCACAGATGGCTGGGGATCTTGCTACTTAATTACTTAGCTGCAGTAATTAAGATGTTTAAAAGAGAGCAGTGGAATTAACCCCAGGGAAGGAGGGGAGCACCCATGCCATTGCTGTACTAAATAAAATTAGGATTCAGGGCTTCAGTTCATCAATGTGCTAGTATTGTTTGATATAAATTAGATCATCTCCACAGTTTTGACTAGAATGCTATGCAGATCAGATGGGATTGTTGTCAGAGAAATCGATTATATAGAGGAGTTAATTATGCCTGTAGTAGTAATAATAATAATAATAATAATAATAATAATAATAATAATAATAATAATATCAGACATTTTCTCTAGCTTTAGCCAGGAATGAGTTCTTAGTAATGAACTTTAAACATCTGTACTTTGTATATAACACATTTGAGATCTAGAGGAGGAGTCCCTAGCCCTCAGTCTGCGGCCTAGTGCCAGGCCACAGCCCGTTCAGAACTGGGCTACGGAAGTGGTGGGTGAGTGTGTGGGCAAATGCAAAGCTGCATTTGTGAAAGCGGCATGTGTGCAAAACCATCCCCTCTCCTCCACTGCCCCACCACTGCTGCCTCTGCCAGCCCAGAAAGGTTGGAGACTCCTGATCTAGAGTCATTAGCTAAACTCAGCCATTTAAACTCAATTACAATAACAACTATTAGGATTTTTTTCTGTGCTAGTTTTGGAGGTTTACAGTCTCTCTGCCATATGTGAATTCACTGTCTATTAGGGAAATGTTTGAACATAGTTTTATGGTGCTGGTATGTTTTAAAAGATGTAGTGTCTGACAATCTGCAAATATTTGATCCTTCTCCTTCATTACCTTGCACTTAATTTTTGAGCCGCTGTGGGAATCTGCTGTTCCAGTCACACCACTTGTGATTTCCGTTTCATAATGATAGATATACTTTCTAAAGGGTTTAAATCTGGTTGCATCTCCTAGAAAACATAAATACGTTTGTATGAACTTCCCCTTGATTTAAATGGGATTTAAATGATTGCAAAATAAGTACAGTTCTTATTATGCATTCTGGTAAATAATTTATTTATATACAACATATTTTTTTCATTTTTGTGTCATTTATAGTCTCAAAAACCTTTGACATACTATAAACAGTTCTGTGTAAAAATAGTTATTTTGCCAGGATACATCGGAATACATTCAAGACCAAATCTTATTCTGTGACACAAGTCATTGGACTGACTTAGAAATATAAACATATTTCTTCTTAATCTTTCTCTTAGGTTCTCTAGAGGATAAAATGGGGTACATATAATGTTTTCAGCTCTTACATTTAAATGTGGACAGATACTGAGATGCACTGGAAAACATTATCTTTTCTAGCTACCATGCCCATGTTGGATCAAGATTATGGGAGTTGTATAACCCCACTCATCTGGCAGTACCATCTTTCACATCTATGGTATTCATGATATGGGACAACTAAATGAAAGCAGTCAGTTGATACATTACTATTTCAGTTCCTATAGAAGTGGTCTTGAAAAGAAAGGTTCTATATACATTGATTAATATTTTATCAAATAGATTGAGCAAGCATTCTTCTTCCTACATCTAAATATAATGTCTGTGTTAAATTTTAAGCCTGCAAAAATCCCATTTCTTCTTCTTTTCCTTCTTTTGCAAAGACACCTTTACAAAGCTAATAAGATAAAACTGGAAAACAATTCTGGACGATTTCTGTGTTTGATTGAAAGAGCAAAATAGCCATGTTGTCTGTAGATGGTGCTAAAGTGCTACATTTGGAAAACAAAGCTTATCAGGGGACAGAGAGCAAACAAACTCACTGGATACTTTGACCCTCAAGAAGAACGCTATGTAATCAGGCAAGCATTTAAGAATAAACAAGTTTTCCAGAGTTGCTCATAGGTACTTTCTGATCCTTGACTCTTGTGATTTTAATCTACAAATTCTACTAATATTTTATTTTCAAGTCAATTTTCTCCTTCTGTCCTTTTCCTGCCATTCACAGACGCCAACATTTCCCAATTATAACTCTGGAGAATAAAATAAATGCAGCTTCCCTTATTCTGCCCTTCCTCCACAACCATCAAAAAATACGCCAAAAGCAAAGTAAACCCTACTTGGAATATTTTCCAGCCATACAGTATGTGAAGCTAAACTTCTTTCAATTTCTGAAGGCAACTTACTTGGGTTGTCTTAGTAGAATGTATACATCAATACTGTAATTATTTTAGAGGAAAAGGGTTTAGCAGTGGAGAAAAAAAATCTTTTGCAATCCACTGGGCAAATAAAATAACCAGCATGTTAAACACAGTGGATAGCTCTCAGAAAATTGTATAGGTTTTTATTTTTAAAAAAGTATTGCATGTACATTTACTTACTTGCATGTATTTTGTCACACTCCCTATTCCCCACCTCCATCCCAAATCTGAATCAGATTTTAAATACTGAAATAATGTTTCAGAGAGTGTAAAGAGTTTCTTCTACTATTAGCTCCTAAGTGATTGGTTAATTTATGATGGGCCAACAACTTGGTATCGATTCTTAGTGACCATATAGATTTAAGTTTTCTAAGAGTATCTGTTCTTCAGTTGGACCCTTCAGACTGTGTTCCTATACAGGCACCTTATTGCTTATCAGTCTCTTCGCTTTCCTTCTTTCCTTGTCTACCAGCATTGTGGACTTCTTAAGGAAGCAGGATGTTTGCTAAGGCCTCCAAAATATGACAAGTCTGATTTATCTTATGATCCATTTGTTTCCTTGATTATCTATGGGATTCTCAAAAGTCTTCTCTAACATCAAAATTGTAAAAATTGTTTCTCAGTCCTGCTTTTAAAAGTCCAGGTTTGGCTTCCATAGAGCATCACAAACAAAATATTTGTCTGCACCATATTAATCTTTATAGGCATAGATCCCAGGCAATTAATATTGTACAGATATAACTTTTGTGGCTTGCTCACTCTTCTCCCAAGTTTGATTAGTTCATAATAAAGATTGTATATATAAACATGTATAATTTTGTTGTGCATATTGGCATGTACCCTGTGACAGCCCAACTTGAAAGTTTACTTAATGATTATTCAGTAGCAGCCAGGGAAAAGAAGGAATCACACAAAGGAAGATATTAAAAAGGAATTACTTGAACAAACAGGGTTTTTATTTTGAATAAAATACTTATTCAAGTAACTCCTTTCATCTTCTGTAGAATGAAAGTCTTCTGTAGAATAATAAATTTTATTCTGTAGAGTAAAATAAAAATGCAATTAATTGTGTACTTTCCAGCTTAGAAATCATTTGTCTAGTAACAATTAAGGAGTTATAGCTAACAAAATACAACCCTAATAAAGAATCCTGTGATACTGTCTGGTCTTACATTTGGGACAGATTCATGTGAAAGCATCTTTGTAGTCTATAAAACCTTTTATGAACAGGAAACAACGGCTCAGTAATTTCTCTCTTCACAGAATGGGTATAGTCTATTTTTTAATGTTATAGGCTTCTATTGTATTAAATCAAATATCAGATGAAAAGGCTTTTTTATGTGCTTGATAATAAAAACAATAAAAAAATAAAAAACCCAAACCCTACAGTTCCAATTGTATACGATATTAGCAAAATACAGTAGAATTTCTACTATACTGTTTATATGACTTTAAAGTATTAAGGCACTGGTCCATTTCAGAGGATAAGTTAGCTTAAAAAGTTTGTTGGTTGAACTGTAAAACTAGGTTGATTTTTACTTTTGTTAACAAGAGGTCAGTCTTTTGTACTGGGTAGTATTAACAGTTAAGACAGAAAAGCCTGGATAATCAGAAAACAACAATTTATGTTTGTTTGGCAAATGTATGTGGTGAAAATCATACTAGCCAGAAACAGCACCGTCTACTACAAAACCTGATTCAATGAGATAAAACATGCAATTCATATGTGTCTCTGAGTGCATTATTTTAAAAAATCCTTTTAGACTACTATTTATGTGTCTGTCTAGCTGTTGCTGGTCAACACCTGTAGAAAGAGACTCTTAATTTGGACTAAATAATTATCTCCCAAAACTGATGCATATTCTAAACCTGTTTTAGAATTTTGAGGAACCAAGAGTCAGTTTGGTCTAGTGGTTAAAGCGTCAGGCAAGAAACCAGGAGCCTGTGAGTTCTAGTTCCACCTTTGGCATGAAAGTCAACATTTCTCTCAGCCCAGGATTGTTGTGAGGAAAATTCGAGGAGGAAGGTGTGTTGGATATATTTGTGCCTTGAGTTAGTTATAAAAAATAATGAATAACAATAAACCCCTCTGCAAGGAAAATTCTCTTAAGTCTCCTCATATAATATTGAATGTAGCCCATTGGATGTAACCCATAAGCAGGCTTGTGTGTTTATCCAAAGCTTGATAAATCCAACTTGTTTTATATCAGAAGTCAGTGAGTTCCATCTTTAACATTTAGAAACTAGTAGAGTAAATTATCTTGCTGAATGCTGGTTTTTTTTAGTAGGCAATGAAGGCACAGAGAAGCAACCTCACTGTGTGAAATATGACAACCCATCAGACACAAAAAGAAACAAGACACAAACTACAGTAAACTTATTTTGTTCCAAACAACATCCATCCAAGCATATCCTATCTTAAATGTACCAATTAGGCAATCCTATATGGAAATAAATACAAGTACTCAAGTATAGACTTGAATACAATACCAGACAAATGATTTGAGTATTGCAGCCTTAGAAAAATCAGATCTATCCAATCCATGAAGGGGCACCTGAGAAAAATACTTGAGATGCAAAGTCTTGTAGACCTGGCTGATCTACAAGACTTTGTTAATAAATAATACATGATAAAATAAAGAGAGTGTTAGGCTGCCATGCTGAATCCAGTTAACATTTGCTTTCAGCTCAAATGCTAGCCTTGGAGACTTGCTCCCTGAAAGCTATATTTATGATTGCAAGTGCATCATCATTCAATCTTATGGTATTTAAATCTGAAACGAACCTTTCTGCATCACATTTGGATATAATCCTAAAGAAGGATCTATGGTATGTCTTCTTGATACAACCACTATTGACTTTCCTAAGTCACTCTCCTAATCAATAATTTAGGTAAAGATTTAATTTTCAAGTTGTAAACTGTGTTCTTTCTTTCTATGTTTTTAAACAACAGCAAAAGCCACACTGGAGATTCACATGAAAAAAAAGTAGGATATAAATCTAAGAAATGAATGCTTTGGCAGAAGGGATCCCCATAAGCAAACGCTATCCTAAAAATAAGCAGAACAAGCCATTCTATAACATCTTATAAATCAATCCAACATATCAGATCATTTGTTCTATCCCAATCTTCCCTATAAAATTGAAATATATTTATGTTGGGCCCAGATGACAAGCTTGACTTCATACTATTGTGGAAGGTATGTGAAATAAATCATTTGTGTGCCAATGGGCCAGATCCAGAACCGTTGTTGATTTATTGAATTCCTTACAACAATATGTCATAATTCTAATCATCTGTCAAAACCACTCTTATTATTAGCCACCTTATTGAATATATTAAGATCAAGGTTGTTTCTCAAATTAAAAGAACCAACCCACTCCCCCAATCATCTGAGAGATCTCTACTTACGTGTTAAAGCCTCATTGCTTAACAGCAGCAGCAGCAACAGGGGCCACAGCTGTGGGTGCCCCATGTTGAAAGCCACCCTTGGGCTGCTCTGCTCCCTTCTGCTGCTCCTACTCCAACAACAAAGTCAGTTTGACTGTCCCTACTTGGACCTGCCTTTAAATACTCCCTGGCAAAGCAGCTGAGCCAAAGGGTTTAAGAACATTCAGAGCAAATTACAAAAGGTCCAAAGGTTATAGTCCTGCATCCTCTTTGCAATAGCTCCAGCAAGCTACTCTGAGCTGGTTCAGCCCATGCCAATGGGTGTAGAAGGCACAGGGAAGCAGAATAACCCTTTGAAATGGCAGCGCTTATTTGGTCACCTCTTATCACTGATGGGGGAGATTTCATAACAAGAGCTTGCAAAAAATATGCCTCACTATAAAGTCAAAGGAACTTATCATTTAGGAAGAAAATATATTTAGTGTGCTAACTAAAAGCACTGAATAGAAAATAATACCAAAAGGCTAAACATAAGGGTATCCTTTGATCTAGAGTACAACTATAAGTAACCATGAACCAATTCAGTTCACTAAAGATCTGCCAAGTTGGCTTACTATCCCAAAGCCATCTGGGACTTTCCAACTGTTAGCAGATTCTGTCTAGCTATTTATCATCTTATCTGGCTTTTCAGATTTTTTGGTTCTAGCTTCAGTAGCCCCTCCTCTGGCTCCACCTTTTCCTCCATTTCCTATGGGAACCTTGCACTGGATTTACCTGCAGGTGTAAGATCACGAGAGCACTCTTAAAAGACTCTTTTACTGCACTGCAAGAAAGTTGATGTGCAAAAATAGTCCTGACCAGAGATGTAAATAGCAGTCATAACAAGTTCACCATTCTAAGAATTTATATTTCACCTTCCTACCAAAAAATGGAACTTAAGCAAACAGAATACAAAAAATAAAAATAAAAATGGTTGCTTGCTGAGCACAAAGGACCTTCTAAAATGTTTCCCAAAATGTTGTAAGCAGGGAAATTGGGGGATGTCCCCTGTAATGTTTCTTTGGGGGTTTAATTAAAGCAAAGAAACTCAGGAGAGTGCATACAAATGGAGAAATGGTGGTAATGTACAATGAAAAGTGTGACATTAACACACATATTCCTTGATTGCCTCCATGATGTAGGGACATCATACTCCATCATAGAATTATTTCAAAATTATTTTGTCCTTTGAAATAATTTCTAAAATAATGTTTCCCCCAATTCAAACAGAAACTAATAGAAATAAAATGATGGATAGCCCTACATTGTTGGTCAGTCTCTATTTTAGATCCTACCAAACACTTAGTCTTTGAGTGAGCTGAAGATTGTGGTCTTAGTGGGGAAGAAGACTATATGATATACTTCTCCATACAAGTACTTTGGCGATATGGAGGGCCTATGTTGGATGCAATCTTTATGTTTTTAGAGAGGGAATTTTAAAACTTACATATAAAAGAAGACCCAATTTAGTCTAGTGGGTAAAACATCAGACTAGAAACCAGGGGATCATGAGTTCTAGTCCTGCCTTAGGCATGAACGCATGAATCTTGGGCCTGTTACTTTCTCTCTCAGCCTAACTCACCTCATAGGATTGTTGTTGTGGGGAAAATAGGAGCAAGAACGAGTATTAGATATGTTCCCTGCCTTGAGTTATTTATAAATATTATAAAGGCAGGATAAAAATAAATAAGAATAAATCCATGGGCAATACATCTCTTTTAGTGCTTGTTTTCAATACCAAAAATCAGGAGATAATATCAGCATAATTTGGATGTTGACCTGTAAATGTTTGCAGCAGCATCTCTGGAGTCTGTAAAAATGCATTTGGGATCTATATGTGGGCTTTGGATTGCCCAGTGCTATATGACAATATAAACACAGCTAAGAGAAAGGAATCTGCAGGAGAAGGATTCAAGAAAATTTATCTGGAAAAGATAATTTAAAAGATGGATGGATTTCCAAGGCATTTCAAATGTCTTTGTGTCTAGAATAAATGATGGATCCCCACTTTTACAGTTTGTGAGAGAATGGGCAATTCACTGACCTTACATTTACACAATGCTAAGTTACATTTCCTGTTATCATGTCTTGTAGTATATGGCAATAATGTTAGCCATTTATCTTTTTCCCCCCCAAATCATAATAGATGGATTCACACAATAGTCTAAGAGAAAACCAGACAGCCCATTATGGCTTTGGGAATGGGTTCTCATCTTGCGCTGGATTTCTGCTTGATTTATCATAGTTTATAGTTCAGATAAAAAGGGGAAGAATCTTGTATGCTGTCATGAGTCCTTTGAAAGAAAAGCAGGATATAAATGTAATCTGAAAGTATAAAAATGGATCCAGAAACATTGCTTTAAAAACCATAGTGAACGTAACTGGAACTCTAGTTAGTTTATTTATTCTGCCTCTCTCTTTCTCTCCTCTGAAGGGTTCCCAGTATGGCTCATAAAATAGTAGCTTACCAGAGTGCTTTATGTCATTAGACTTTGACAAGTAAAGATTCTCTTGAGTTGAGCTCAACCACTGGTGACTATGTGGATGTGCTGAGATGTACTTCTTGGCCACAGTACAAAGAAATCTTCATCATCTTCAACATTATTTTCTGATTTCTTAGTAGCTCTGGGGAGCTTACAATTAAAAAAGAAAAAGGAATGCATATAGGATTTGTTTATTTATTTAGTGTATGGAATAGAGCACATGGATAATAGTAATAAAATATATAGAAGGAGCACATCATACTATGGTACACATATGATGGAAATATGTAGTTAATTTTGTAATGTTCAAGGAATTATATATAAGTTATCGGTTTATCTTCAGTCGTGTCTTAAAGACGAATGGATCGTCGTAGCTAGATTCTGCCAGAACTTGATGTATTAATCCATTATAAACATTTTATACAATTAATGCACCAAATCTTTTGATATTATCACCCCCGTTGTATTTTACCTAATAACTATAGGCTATCATAATTTAAGGGTTAATATTACATTATAGCTTAGGCTGCGCTCTTATTTATGTGCAACTGATAGATAGGCTGCCAAATTATGATTTTAACATAGATTCTATTTATTATTTGTCATTATTTTATTTTAGAACTTTTAACTAGACAGTCTTTGAATATTTTTCATTGTATTGGGCTTTGACTGTAATAAATATTCTAAATTCTCTAAGTTATAAGCCACATTTTAAAATACATTAACTCATAAGAATAGAATAAGTATTCTACATATTAATATTTAGGCCATTTATCCAATTAGGTGCAGTATTTGTTAGCTGGAGAAATCCTGCTTTTCCTCCTGTATAAGTTCTCAAATGGCAACTAGTCATTATGTAATCCAGTGTCTGACGAGGAGCACTACACTCACATTCAGGAGAGGATACTCTGCCCTATTTAAACATACAGTAAATATAGGAAACAAGCCATATCTGATCAGAAGATTACATCAACAATAAAAGTTTTTTTTTATAAAGGCTAAACTTATAGGGACTCCATACCACAAATCCTAAAGTCTGGAAGAACCACATTTTTACTGACTCTCTGAATGTCATTAGACTGGAAGCTGTACAAATCTTCAGTATGTGTGTGTATGTGTGTGTGTGTGTGTGTGTGCGTGTGTGCATGCCCATGCATGCTCATTCCAGAGGTCAGACACTGCAATAGATGAGAAGCTAGTTCCTGGGTCTCATAAGATTACACTGTTTATTATTTATTTTTTATCCCACCTTTATTTCTTTATAGGTAACTCAAGGTGTCAAACTCCTTCCTCCTTCAATTTTTTTCCACAACAACAACCATATGAAGTGGGTTGGGCTGAGACAGTGACTGGCCCAAGGTCACCCAGCTATCTTTCATGCCTAAAATGGAACTAGAACTCACAGTCTCCTGGTTTCTTGTTTTTACTCATGATTGGGTAGATTGGCTCTTTGATTTCCTTCACCAGCCCTTCAGGCATTTTTTCTTTCTTTCTGCCATTGCCATCTACCAGGAAGTTTCTTCACTTTCCCTGTCTAATCTATTATTCTGAGATTTCCTGATCTCGTCCCATCCAAGCATTATCCTAGTCACCTTAGCTTCTTTTGAGATCAGACAAAGTGAAATTCCAGACTGCAGATTAGACTGGGGAGTCAAAAACCATCCCAGACAAAGGCAATTGGCAAACCAGTTCTATATCACTGCCAAGTAAACCACAATGGCAAGTTCATGTAATCACCAAGAATTCGCTCAAGTAGAATACATTCCACCATTTAAAACTTTAATAATTCCTAAAAATGTGATTTCTCTAGTTGTATATTCAAAACATACTTGTCAATTAATCAGTGCAGCTTCAGAGAAAAGCGGCCCATTGGCATTAGTTTGTCTAGAGATGATTTCTTCCACTTTTAATATTAAAAAAAAACAAAATCTAAATGTACAAAAGAGACTGATGTGCCATTCGAAGCAATGACCGTTTTAAAAAAAATGTTATATTTTAAAACATTGAAGACACAGTAGAATAGCTCCAAACTTATTGGAATTGTAAAACACTGGGTGTTATTTATTTAATTTAAAATCTGATTGTAAGTTTGCTTTACCATATAAACGTAGAGTTCTGTTCTACTAATATAATTTAAAGCAGCTGTGTTTTCAAAAGGAAAGAGGAGATTTCAGAAGCGAATGTTATATTACATGTAGATACATATATTTCAGATGAAGAGTAAATATTACTTTTAGAAAAGTCTGTTAGTTTGGGGTAAAAAAAATAACTGTTAGCATGACTGTGTGTGAGGGAGGGAGAGAGGCTTTGTGTGCACTATTCTACTTTATCTTGCACCACAAGTGATTTTCCTAAAGCCACTAAACCTAAAAATATTTAACACGATGCAAGTGTTTTTCTTTGTTTTTCTTTGAAGATGTTTCACTTCTCATCCAAGAAGCTTCTTCAGCTCTGACTGGATGATGGGAAGAAGCTTGTCCACCCTTAGGATAAAACACCCAGACACAAACTGAGCAATGTGATATATGCAGTACAATGCAGTGAGCCATGTGCAGATCTGTAC